GAAACATTGATAATACTTATGCCAACTTTACTCATAAAACTGGTCCAATTTGAATAGTGCATCTGTATCATAGGCTGCTCTGGCCATTGTTAATAATGATAACAAGCTCATACCGCAGTGGTACCATTCACAGTCTTGGGGATGCTGTACACATTTTTTGCTTTCACTCATCTACCACACCTGATTCACCTGATTAAGAGGCTCCCCATATGCTGGCTTAGGTGTGTTAGTGTAAGGAAATCATAAGAGCATGGAGTCCCAGAACTGGAATTAGGAACTACTGCAACAATTCTGAGAGCCATTGGTCACAAAACACATGCAACTTAGACAGGGTTTCTGACCAAGTTCCAACTTAACTAATGCAACCTCAGTTAACTCATTCTACAATTAACAACTTTCTTTTTAATCCCATGTTAAGATTCTCAATCTTAGATTAATTATTTTATGTGTACATTAAGCATGCTATTGATCCAAAAAAGGAATAAGGAAATAATACTAATTAATTATTAAGAAAGAAAGCATTTTTCATGACAAAAAGCAATGCTGTGTCCCACTATCACTGTGTTAGTGCATCCTGGAGTAAAGACTGCTTTCTTCAGGGCTCCCGAGTGGCTTCACAGGTCTCGGAGGAAGCCTGTGTTAGCCTTCACCCTCCTAGCGTTGATAGCATCGTGTGATTGGGGGAGTCCCAACTAGCGGGTGGAATTGGAGACGACTATATTGGGGAGAAAATCGGGTAAAAATTAAAAAAAAAAAAAAAGACAAGACTGCTTTCTTCATATTATTTTCCTCCCCTGAAAAGCTCTATTTTTCATGTAATTGTTGCCACAGACATCACAAAAAAAAAACAAAAAACAAACAAACAAACAAAAAAAAAAAGCAAAAAAGGCTAGAGGTATTTTTAATATAGATATCTAATACCATAACACTATAGCTATAGCAATAATTTTCGCTACAGGCTTCAGGCAATCCGCGCAAAATGTGAACCATAAGCTGCCGTTAACTGGACTGGTGGTGATTGTGCAGTGATGACTGAGCCGCGGACAGGTCGAGCAAATGGGCACGATCACCCCTTAGTTAGCTTAGCTCAGGGGTCGCAACCGAAATGTCAAGAAGAGCCATTTTGTCTTTTCAACAAAAATGAAACCACCTTGGGAGCCACAACATTTTATGTCCGTTTTACGATCTTGGCTGTAGGTATGTCTCAGTATGTACTGACGCTCTAGTTCGGGCTAAAAATATAATATAAACGAAAAAGCAGACTTACTTTGCTCTGCTTTAAGCTTTAGCCCAGCTGTAGCTGCTTTTCTCACATCTCATGAAACTTCTCTGCGAGTTTCCTGTAAAATGTCTCTCAATGTTCGACTTTTTACGAAGCTGAAGTCGCTTCTCACTCTCCTGCTTCTCATTTGAATTGTCCCGAACCACCTTAAATGGTGCTTGAGGCACCAGATTGTACTGCTGCGCCATTTAAGGTGGAACGGGACAATTTGAAAGATAAACGACTTCAGCTTTGAGAGTTGTTGCAAATTAAACGTATCAGGAAACCAGCTGGAGTGCTTATAAATGCAGATAAGTCCATTCATCTCCGAATTATCGATGTTTGTCTTAAATCTTTCTTTTTGCCTTTTCGTTATCTGCATTGCTGTGTGTCCAGCAGTTTGCGCGTCAATATTCAGCGTTAAAGTTTTGTGAATTAGCAATTATACATTAACTCCAGCGTTTAAGACCATTTATTGTGAAAACTGTGTTTGAACTGTGTTATAACGATTTTACATTATTATGTTATTTTCAGTGGTGGACGAAGTACACAAATCATGTACTTGACTTAAAGTAGAGATACCCAAGGTAAAATATTACTCCAGTAAAAGTAGAAGTCCTCCCTTTAGACCTCCTCTCGAGTAAAAGTACAAAAGTATTTGCCTTCAAATGCAAAAGAATTGAAAGTAAAAGCACTAAAAGATTAATTATGGCTCTAATGTCCTATTATCATTTTTGTAACAAGACTCTTGCTTGATTAACTTATTTTAGGTGAAAATATTCTGGTGTCACTCTTGGTAAACAAATGTTTTAATAGAATGTCATTAATTAGTCTGACACTGATGTCTATTAAAAATATCATCAGCACAAAACACTGAAGGCAAACAATTTCCATTAGTTAGAACCAAGTGGCTATGAAATAACGCTTCTTTCGTTTTGACATTACGTTTTTATGCACACATATCCAAAAGGAACAACAGATTTCGCATAATGTAGCAGAGTAAAAAGTAGGATATTTGACTTTGAAATGTAGTGGAGTGAAAGTAAAAAGTCGCCCAAAATGGAAATACTTCAGTAAAGTACACATACACGAAAAAACTACTTAAGTACAATAATGAAATACATTTACTTAGTTACTGTCCACCACTGGTTATTTTACCTAAAAATCCAGTTCTGCTGTGGAGCCCCAGCAGCTCTGCAGCAGCAGTGGAGAGATTATTCAGGCCTGATTCTCACCCCAAACAGAGCCAGGGTCACTGATGAGGATGATGAGGCTAAAGTGTTGCTGAAGCTTAATAAAGGACTCTGAATATCGTGTCTGTATCTTGCTGAAATGTTTAAATTGGAGCAGTAGTATTTCAACAGTTGACAACGCTTTGCACAAAAGTTGATTGGTTTGTATCCGGTTATTTTTGTTGATTTTTGTTAGGAAAAAAATGGAATTATTGACTTTGCCTTTACTTAGTCTAAATCTTTGTTGGATATCACACCTTTGGTTATGTAAGTTTGATTCTTGGTTTATACTTAAACTTACTTCTTGGTGATCTTGTATATTTGCAGCTTTTCAATTGTATGTTTCTTTCTGGCACATGATTAAATGCAGTGTCTTGTTCACACTATCAGTTGGGCTTGTTTGGTGTGTCAGATGGAGATTCACAAACATTCTGACAATCATGCTGTGGAAGGTAGCGCACTACTTTTCAAAAAGTAGCTTAAAAGTAGCCACTACTTTTTCTGGAAAAGTAGATAAATTGTAGCTAGCTGTATTCTAGCTCATTTTTCAGTAGCTAGCCCAACCCTGTTTGTTTTCCATATACATTGAATAACCAGAAATTGTTTTTGCACATTGAATAATCGGCAAATTCCTAGTATGACATACTTTATTAATTTGTTGTCCAAGCATGTAGGGCTGGAACGCCAATGTTTTTGTTAAGATTCTTCTTTTTTTCATTTTTATTCTGATTTTCCACTGAAACATATCATAAAGACAAAATCGTAAGCTGTAGGGATGCACAATGATGTTGAAAAAATCATTGGGCCGATTCTTAGATTTAGCTGATATTTCAAACCGATATTTGATGACACATTTATTGTAAAACCGGAAGAGAACCGTTAATGTTTAGACAATGATGGCTGTGCTACAGCAGTGCAGCTAAAATGTCTCCAACATCACCATGCACACAAACAAAACCTGCAGCTATTCCAGTAAAACCTCTGGGTAGGATGTTTTAATGGCTTAAATCTCCTAAAAAAAGACCCTACCAGCATTAAATCTACAACGCTGAAATTGGCTTTTTTGTTCGCCTGCTTCTTATTCGACTTTTCCTGTTCCACCTTAAATTTAGGTTAACTTTAGATGACTATGCAATACCAGTGAGTATTTGTTCAAATATTCCGGTAATTAGTGGTCGGAGACCTAGGGCCAATTTTTTATTATTTTTTTTTATGTAAGAGCAAAAGAAATGTCAAGGAATCAGACAAATATAATGGTTTTATAAATACTTACCTCAAAAGGATAAAACAGATCAACTGAAAGTTCTGATAGCACAGTCTGATCCTGATATCTTAATAATAACAGAGACCTGGTTAGGCACCCCATAAGTGATGCAGATGTAGCTCTAAATAATTTAATTCTATATAGAATTGGAAGACAACTGAGAGGAGGTGGAGTAGCTATTTTATAAAAGCAAACATCCAAGCTAAATCCTTAATCACAGTTTCAAAAGAAAAATGTTTTAAGTTCCTAGCTTTGAAGTTGTCCCTAGGGAAAATTACTCTTTGTGTTAGTAGGGATTTACAGGCCTCCTTCTGCTCCGTCTCCTACAACAGCTGAAATAGCTAAACTTCTATCGCACCATACTTCTTCAGAAATGCAGGTCCTAGGGGATTTTAATATTAACCCATTGTCTAATATAATAATCCAATAATTTAAAAGAAATGTAGGACAATATTACCCTCACACAGTCAATCACTACATCGACTCAACCAAACCTAAACGACCCCACCAAGTCTACCCTGATTGAGATTTATGTATGGGGCCTCGGGCGCCAGAATGCCACTGCTGTATCATTTAATCAATCAATTAATCAATTAATCAGTCAGTCAATCAACCTTTATTTTTACTCAGAAATACACTGAGGATGACCCTTGTTTTCAATGCAGCTGAGCATTTACAGCAGAAAGGGAAAAAAAATAATTTTGGAATGGAATAAACTAAAATAAACAGAGCTACAAGAACAAATTAGCAGTAAAATCAAAGAAAAGAAAGAGTGTTTCTAAATAAAAATCAGTGTGCTTCTCATCGTGCTGCTAGTGGGAACCAATCAACTTTTTCATACAGTCTACAGTAACCGTATTCATTCCATATATTCAGACTTTTTGTATATATATATATATATATATATATATATATATATATATATATATATATATATATATATATATATATATATATATATAAAAAAAATATAGTGTTAGAATGTTGTGCAAAATGTAAATAAAACCAGAATGCAACGATGTGCATATCATTAGAACTGGACTTTTTTTTTTGTTTTGTTTTCTGAAAAATCTATGTCCATTTCAAAGTTGATGCCGGCAACACATTTCAAAAAATAGCTGGGACGGGGCAACAAAAGACTGGTAAAGCTGTGTGATGTTAAAAAAACATGGTGGTTAATTGGCAACAGGTCAGTAACATGATTAGGTATAAAAAGAGCATCCCAGAGAGACTGAGTCAGAAGTGAGGATGGGTTCACCATTTTATGAAAGACTGTGTGGGCAAATAGTGCAACAATTCAAGAATAACTTTTCTCAACATAAAATAGCAATGAACTTGGGGATTTCATCATCTATGGTACATAATATCATTAAAAGATTCAGACAATCCAGAAAAATTTCTGTATGCAAGGAACAAGGCCAAAAAGTAATACTGGATGGCTGTGGTGTTCAGGATCTCAGGCAGCACTGCTTTAAAAACAGACACAACTCTGTAGTGGAAATCACCGCATGAGTTCAGAAACACTTCTAAAAATTTTTGTTTGTGAATCCAGTTCATCACTGCATCCACAAATGCAAGTTAAATCTCTACCATACAAAGAATAAGCCATGCAGAAACAGGATCCAGAAAAGTCACCACCTTCTCTGGGCCTGAGTTCATTTAAGATAGACTGAGGTGAAGTGGAAATGTGTTCTTTTTGGAAATCACGGATGCTCCATCCTCTGGGCTAAATAGGAGAGGGACCATCCATCTTGTTATCAGCACACAGTTCAAAAGCCAGCATCTGTAATGGTATAGGGGTGCATTAGTGCACATGGCATGAGTTACTTGCACATGTGCTGAATGTGATCTAAGCGATGATGGTGAAGGCTTTATATAGATGAGACTATCTATGTTAACTGTAGGAGCATTTCTGAAATTTCTACTACGATGTGTTGTATGGGCTCTGTGTATATATGCCATAGAGTTCTTCCTTTGGGTGCTAATCACAGGAATGCTAAGACAGTCATAGTCTAGCAGATTTGCAAAATCAAAATGAACCATGATAAGGTTAAAAATCCAATTAGCTTCTACGCATGTTTTTGTTAATTGAAAAGCTAACAAAGGTATCCATAACCAATCTTCTTTTAATAAGCTGATCCCTCTCCAGACTCTGAAGCATATTGTAGTACCTTGAGGTGGCACAGGTCCTGACATCACACCAGAGAAGCTCAATCCTAGGAACATTTAAGATAGTTTTAGTCAAAATCACGTCAATGCTGACACATCTGAAGAATTTAGTTCCAGCTGTTGGTGAATGAAGCAAGTAATATGGACAATATCATGAACACCAAGAGTATTAGCATGTGGAAAAAAAAAATGTCCAGGTGTCTGGTAGTTTTGAGGGGTAAAAGCCATCAGCAGTATATCTACAGATATCTACATCTATTGTATATGCATGGGTGTCACTATTTTAAAACAAGACAAAAGCAAGATAAAGAAGTATTTATGATTTTACACACAATAGACCTTAAATGTTTGGTAGGTAAAAGACAAACGTAATGTCTTTTACCAGACATAAAGCTTCATGTAGAATTTGTGGAGTTCCCATTTATGGCAGATGCTGCAATCCGTATCTCTGCTTCAGTGGCACTTTTGTCCCATTTCATTACGGCAGCTGCAACATGAATTTCATATATATTAATCATAATAAAATGTTCAACATTCAAACTCTTACCAATTAATAAGGATTATTACAGAATATATGAAAATGCTTACCTTTAATCACAGAATACAGGTGTGTATCTTCAAGGGCCTTCTTTTTCCTTTTCCCCTTTCCCCTTTCCCTTCATGTTGAAGCTGCCCATGAGGTTGTTAGTTAAGTTAGCCTTAGAACAATAAAAATAGTTAATACAAGAGCCAATTTAAGGGTAGTCTGGCCACTTCTTATTTCTCCCGTTATATTAAAAACATGACTGCAAAACGCCAGGGGGTGCCCGCAGTCGAGTCCTTAAGGAATGGCGTTGAATGGAGCTAAACCATCTCTAACCATCAGGACATTCTTTGAATTTTGGAGCAAAAACCTGCCTACATATTCCCTTTTTTAACAGGTTTTAGGCTGTAGAACACTAGCATTACAGCTACTGAGTGCTGTCTGGTTGGTGAGCTGATCAGTTCATTGGCGGAATAAAGCAGCTTACCGATGTCACGAACATTGATGAGGCGCTGTTATAAAGTCCTATAACTGGAGTTCAAATGTGCTCAAAAATATACTAGCAGTGTTAAAATGTTTTATGCTGTTACATGTTCAGGAAATGAATGTATTCTTTTATATAAAAATATTTAATCATTTACAAGCCATGATTTTGCTCAAATGCTCCATATTAACCCATTCGTTTTGGACTCGCCTAGGAGCCCCCTCTAGCATTTAAGAAACCCGGAAGACATTACATAGTGGCAGCTCTCCTCTCTACATATTCTCTGTCAATAATTAAAAATGAATTAAATTAAAAATAGACAACAGAATTTTTTATCTACAATTAGTCAAAACAAATTACTCAACTAATGAAGCTATATGTAGATCCTTCACATTTTTTCCACCAACGCTGGACAGTTGTACAGCCCTAAAAACAAAAAAAGACAGACAAAACAGGACCACCATTGTGACTTTCATACAGCTCTTCAGTGTATGATTCGAACACCTCATCCAGCCTCTGCAATCTTACCAGAACCTCTCTTGCATTCCTGTCCTGAAGTCTAGACTCTTCCCTTTCAAACTCAGCAATACTGTCCATTTTAACTATATGTGTATCAGACAAAGGTAGCTCAGCTCTTCCAAGCCACTTGACCTCCTCATTTATGTCCAGACATTTTGACAACACTCACTTCTGAAACACTAACCACAAGAATCACAATAAATTCTATGCTTAGTTAAAATTTAAAATGATCATTTTACAGTTTCAATTTATTATTGTAGACAACATGTTATACAAGTGTTAGATTCAGAAAATATTTCAACTGGAATATAATATAAATGTCAAAAGTAACCAATAATTCATTATCTGTCTGCATTAATGCTATGTGATGTATATGAAGACAAGTTCTCTAGGTTCTGAGTGTTAGGCAGGATGGAGCCAGGCAGAGGCAAATTCCCATCTGGAAAGCAAAAGAATTCTTCAAGTCAAGACATAGTACTGTGAGAAATGCAAAACTAAAAAGAAAAAGTGTTAGGAGTCTAAAACAGGATGGGAGTCTTGAGATGATTTGAATTTGGGCATACCACTGTGTTTAATAATTTAAGTGCAGAATTTGTGGCCTGAAACAGGAGTTGTTTCTGTACATTCTATTTTACCTTGCTAGTCACTGAGAGGAAATGTCATATACCAAAATTATCTACAATGAATCGAACCTTACCAGAGGGCTGAGAGGTTATGTCACCATAAGAACTAGAACAAACTTGGCTGAGTCTGCGAAAATCTGAAAACAAGATATAAACAGCATCACAGTCACTAAAATGTTCTACACAAAACCTGAAGGTTGATACACTATATTGCCAAAAGTATTCACTCACCCATCCAAATAACTGAATTCAGGTGTTCCAATCACTTCCATGGCCACAGGTGTATAAAACCAAGCACCTAGGCATGACTAGACCCATGCAGACTGCTTCTACAAACATCTGTGAAAGAATGGGTCGCTCTCAGGAGCTCAGTGAATTCCAGCATGGTACCATGATAGGATGCCACCTGTGCAAGTCCAGTCATGAAATTTCCTTGCTATTAAATCCTCCACAGTCAACTGTTAGTGGTATTAAAACAAAGTTATAACAAAGACCTCCAAACTTCATGTGGCCTTCAGATTAGCTCAAGAACAGTGTGTAGAGAGCTTCATGGAATGGGTTTCCATGGCCGACCAGCTGCATCCAAGCCTTACATCACCAAGCGCAATGCAAAGTGTTGGATGCAGTGGTGTAAAGCACGCCGCCACTGGACTCTAGAGCAGTGGAGACGTGTTCTCTGGAGTGACAAATCACGCTTCTCCGTCTGGCAATCCAATGGATGAGTCTGGGTTTGGTGGTTGCCAGGAGGAAAACAAGATCCTCCAACAGCTCAGAGCGTTAGTTGTTGCTTCCACAACACTGGATGACCTCCGAAATTGCATTGAAAGAGCCGTGAGCACAGTGACACCCAACAAGCTCAATCGAGTATGGGATTTATTTGACTATGGCATTGATGATGTCATTACAGTTGGAGGAGATAATATTGAGCACTTGTAAAATTATATTATAAACTTTATGCTCACATACACCATTTACAATTTGCATTGTTCTGTAATGATTTACAAGTGAAATAAATCATTTTGAAATCGAATTAATGAATCACTATAATCACTTTTTGAATATATATATTTATAATGCATTTGTAGGCTAGGAGCAGCTGATTATGGGATGTCCTTTCATATTTTACTAAAACCCATAAGTAACACACTAACATAATACACATATAATACATAAATAAACCTATACTTTCTTACCCTAACCACTCAGTGCTAAATATTACTTCGCATCCGAATTTCTACGAGGTTGAAATTGGCTAGGCTAATGCTAACTCCAAGAGACTGCTGTTCTTTTATGTCTGCTGTTTCAATCCAAACTGGACTGCCTTAGATTACAATAAACAAGAAAGTAGGAGGTGATCGAGGGACTGCTCCAGTTTTGTTTTCATTATCAACCGAAATGTGACAAACATCCATGTCTCATGATATGCTGTGTTATTTGTGCTTATTTGTGATTAACCAGTACAAAGGTTATGACAAAGCTTATACCTTAGGAAGAATTTCAACTTGTACACTGCCTACTATTAAACACCATAAAAGTACAATAAGCACATTAATAAAAACAGAGGAGAGAATCTGTAGGTTGTGTGCTGTTTTTAAAAACTGCCTTTGTAAATATAATCAAATAATTGTGCTAACATGTTATATGAAACAAAAACTGCAGTGAAGCTGATCACTAACCAGAGGACAGGATGGTTTGGGTTCCACCATAAGAACCAGAGCAACCGGGGCTGCATCTATGATGATGTAAATCTGGGAAACAAGACAGTCAGCATTAGAGTGACTTCAACAAATTTGTATGTTGATGTATTCATAAAAGGTGATTATTTGTAGATACTAAAGAAATAACTTAACTACTTGGCCAGCATTTTGTGCTCACATGAGCAATGACCCCCAACTACTAACCAAAGAACTGAGGGGTCACCATCATGACAACTAGAGTGACCTGGTCTGTGACGATCTAAACCTGGAAAATGAGACAGGCAGTATTACAATGAGGTGTGCTGGATAAATAAAAAGCCAAGAATTTTAAGAAGGAAGTAAATATATGTTTAACTGACTACAGAGAAGTCTTACACCCTATTCGGATGGGATAAGTTTTAAATGAGGAGGTGGGGTAAGGTATTTATTACTGGCATTTCTCAGTGATCTTAGTCATGTCCGAATGTGGCACATTAGTCAATTTTAGTAACTGCGCACTCCCGCATCAGTAAAGATGCTGGTGCCTTTTACCTTTTGTAAAACAAGCCATAAACATAACCTTAGGTCATATTAATTTCGGGCAAATTGATGTCGGTAAAAGCGATATTATAGCCTGTGAAAAAGGAGTTTCTTAAGTATGGAGGCATGCAAAGAAGCATTTTTTTTTTAGTTTATTTAGTTTTATTTTATTATATATAGCACTTTTTACACAAAGCAGCTTTACAGAAAAATCCAAGACCCCATGAGCAAGCCAATGGCGACAGTGGCAAGGAAAAACTCCCTAAGAGCAAGATGAAGAAACCTTGAAAGGAACCAAGGGGAACCCATCCTTCTCTGGTTGACACCAGATAGCAAACAGCATTAGTATAAAATATTAGAATACAAAATGGGGGAAAACAGGCGGAGCAATGGTTAATTAGATTAGTTTTAGTTTATGCAGCAGCATCATCATCAGGAGGGTCAGTTCATGATGGTGAGGAGAGAACGCAAGTTCTCTGACAAAGCTGAAGTCGGCTTCTTATTCGTGAGTTTTTCCTTTTCCATCTTAAATGGTGTGACAGTTATTTGTGTAATGCCTGAGGTGCCAGAATATAACTGCTGCTCCATTTAGGGTGGGAACAGAAAAATTCCAACAGGAAGCTGGCGAATAGGAAGCTGACTCCGGCCTCACTGTTTTCAGTGACTAAAATTAGGCCGATATATAATGTTACAATCCTTTCTCATGTGTTCAACTCAGAACATGTAAAAATTCCAGAAAAAAAAAACTTTGATTTTATGCGGTGAAGTTGACTGTTTATTGTGAATTCCCAAGATAATGGCAATGTTAATGACGCATTGCATGGACAAAAAGGTAAATGGTTAGGTTAAACAGAATGGCTAAATTAAATGTTTTAAAGGGGACCTATTTTGCTCATTTTTAGTGTTCATAATTTTATTTTTACATGCTTCAATGTTCCAAATACCTGTTCTGCCCCTATACGCTCCGCCCCTAAACAAACTCTTCCTGCCTCCAGTATAATATAATAAAAAAACAGAGTATCTCACTGTTCTAATGAGAAACCTCTTCATTGATCATCAAGCACAATCATGGCAGAAAATGCACTGTCTAGTTCCACATCAACAAAGGAGTTAAACAAGGCTGCAAAAATCGTCATACTTGTTAAATCTGTATGCTGAACATATAATAACAGGAGCAGGATTAGAGGAAGATGATCAAGTACATCCATACCTTCTTTTAGCAGATCTCAATGCTCATAGCGGAAAATCAGGAAGACATGAAGGCCTATTTAAGGAAAGTTAAAGAACAGCGGACAGATAAGACTCAAAATAAAAGATATTAATACGACACATATCAGGCTATTGTCTTTTCTGTAATTCTTTTTGGATGTGAAAACAGCACAGGAAAATTTTGGTATCTCTTTAAGATTGCCCGGATGACTAAACTGAATCTCGATTTCGGACATATTGTGAGAAGAACCAATTCAAGAATTATGCTTGGAACAGCTGAAAGTAAAAAAGGAAAAAGATGGCCCACAACAAAATGGACAAAAAACTATCCATATGGTCAGCAGGTATCAACCTGATGTCATTAATGATAAGAAGAAAAAAGCAGGAAGAAGAAGAATGACAAAACAAAATAATAACAACAATAGTGACACATCAGAAAAATAACAGCAAATGTAGTGTACCAAAGCCATAATCTAATGGTTCTCTGTAAAACTGCGTCCATCCATCCATCCATCCATCCATCATCTAAACCGCTTATCCTTCTGGGTCGCGGTGAGGTGCTGGAGCCTATCCCAGCTGTCATTGGGCGGAAGGCAGGATACACCCTGGACAGGTCGCCAGTCCATCGCAGGGCAGACAGACAGACATACACATTCACACACACACTCACACCTAGGGGCAATTTAGCATATCCAATTAGCTTAATTGCATGTTTTTGGACCGTGGGAGGAAACCGGAGTACCCGGAGGAAACCCACGCAGACACGGGGAGAACAGGCAAACTCCACACAGAAACGACCGTGGTCGCCCAGCTGGGAATCGAACCCAGGCCATTTTTGCTGTGAGGCAACACCGCTACCCACTGCGCCACCGTGCTGCCCTAAATCTGCGTCATATTTACTAATTATATAGACAATGAACCCAATTAAAATTTAAGTACCGTTATATGTAAACCAAACTACTAACCAGAAAGCAGAGCAGTTCTATCAGCCTCATGAGAGCCACAGTGACCTAGGCTGTGTCTGCCCTTATCTGACTCTTGAAAACAACATTCAATCAACAATATTTATGTAAGTCATTCTGTCCTGTTTTCCATATGCAAATAGTCACTCATCATTACATGAAGGTGTCACTTTTAAATGGAGCTGGCACCATATTCAAAATTGCAAAAATGGACGTGAACAAGGAAAGGGATGAAATAGTCATTTTTGTCATCAATATCCAACAAAATGTAGTTCAGCAAAACAGGTCTTCTTCGGACTAGGTAATGGAATCAGCCTACTTACCTTTACTTGTATTTGGTCTGTTCTCTTCCTCTTCCTCTTGTAATTTTACAAGTGCTCAATATGACCTCCGCCAGCTGTACGGACAACATCAACACGACAGTCAAATTCATCCCATACTCGATTGAGCATGTCGGGCATCAATGTACTCATGGCTCCTTCAAAGTGATTTCGGAGGTCATGCATTGTTGTAGAACCAATAACGAATTCTCTGAGCTGTTGGAGGCCGACAAAAATCATGTTGCACAGTTATGACGGATTCACTTTTATTGAAGTGGAGAGCGCAAAATGCTTTCTGCTCAGGGGTCGCTATCTCCTCTCAGACTGAAGGGAGCCAGACAATCAGAAACTCTATGACCCCCTCTTTCAATTGGTATGTGATTGGTTCCTAGGCGCCTCACAGTTGTAAAAATATGGCGCTTCAGTTCAAAGAAATCCAATGTATAACCACGATGCAGAACGTCACACACAACTATCTCATCCTATCTCTGTTAGAGTACAAATGCATATTTTTCATCATGAAGCATCTTTTCTGATATGAACATGAGAACCCATTCCTGCATTGCCAGGGTCTATCTTGGCATTCTCAATCTGTCAATCGTTTAGTAATTTGAGCAATCGGATTGTGGCTGTTCTTGACCTGCTTCTAAAGGGCTTGAAGGTGGTTTTCAAAAGGAAAACATGAAATGTCATTTAAGAAGCAGTTATAGTGAGTGACATCTCCTCATGAAGACAAACTAAACCATGTACGTTATACACAGAGAATGTTTTACCATACAATTGTGGGCATCTTTGGACAAAGTACCTCATAAGCTGACAAGCATAATCAATGTAGCCATTGTGGGTCCTCTCATCTGACTCAAGCATAATGGACACAGCCACAGTCAGAGACTAGGAGTATGTCTCTGGTGAAAGAATGCCTTTAAGTACAACCAGTCCTGTGTACAATAAGAACTGTCTAAATTCAGTGGCCTTCCACCTGTCTAAATCTTCTAATCTATGTAGTTGCCTGTTAAACTCACTAGGCATCATTCCCCTTAACTGGTTCAGGCACACTGAAATTTCACACTTATGACTGTTAGGTAGTCTGCACAATTTTGGTCTACGAGTTAAATACACCAAGATGCGCCTCACTACCCCTAAGCAAAACATATGCATGTAATCTAAAACAAATATAGAGATGCAGTGAATTACTGCATCAATCAAAGGGGTCTTAGTTTGATGGTTTGTGTAATGCATTTCTTTGGATTTATCATCCGTTCTTACTGTGCATATTTCTTGGTAAACAATCTAAGACGTGTACCTTTAAGGGTACACCTCTCACAGCCATAACATGATGTATGACCTTTAATGCATTTCAAATGCGCCCTAGTGGGTGCATCACACACACACGCTTGAATTTGAGTTGTATAGTTTTTCTCATTTTGCAGCAGGCCATTTTCATTAAGTAGCTTGAACTCATCTAAAAAGTCCCTCAGGTATTCCTCAAGAGGTTCAGGCTTTAGCATGCCATAAAATAGTGCCACAACAAAGGCTGAAAATTGTTCGATGTTGCCTAAGATTGTGTTCTGTTGGACTTAAAAAGGGGAACACTCAATATTTATACTAAGGCTGATCAAATCACAAGGGGGATTAAACTGTGACAAGTAGGGGTGGGAATCTCTAGGCACCTCATGCTTTGATTTGATTACGACTCAGAGGGCTACAATGCGATTCTAAAATGATTATCGATGCATCTTGATGCATCTTTTTTTTCTATACTATATATTTTTTTCTCACTGTGTGAGGTCTTGGTACTTTTAAAGCAAAGTATTTGGAATGATCTATAATGAATTTACTTCCAATATCTGTTATTACCAAAACAAATAGAAGTGATATGGCAAGTGAACTAGAAGGCTCTCATTCACTGCTCTTGTTTGAAGCACATGAGACACTGGCTGCCACTCATCTGGGATAAAATGCGCAGTTACGGTGAAATAAGATCCTGTGGCAATAGATGTCCATGCAGCACATGGTACAGCTGTTCTACCCGTTTTCTTTTATATATTTTTTTTGTAACTTCGGTTTTGGTCTCGTTGTAGACAGTGGGGATTGCTGTGTCAGTAAAATATCTTCGAGACGAGACGCTGTATCTCGGCTCCAAAATGTGCAACATAGCGGGAAAGCCCTGGTTCTCAATAACTGAGAACTGGCGTGCAGACTGCAGGTCACATAGCAACGCAGTCTCGCCTAGCTAGTAGCTAATGAAAAGGCAAAGAGAGAGATTTAAGATGAACATTTGGAGATAAATGGACTTATTTGCATTTATAAGCAGCGCAGTTGGTTTCCTGGAACATTACACCTGCAATGAGAGACTGTCAAACACTAAAAAGTTGCGAAGATGAAGTCAGCTTCCCTTTCGAATTTTCCTGTTCCACCTTAAATGGTGCAGCCCTTACATTCTGGCATCTCAGGCACCATTTAAGGTGGAACAGGAAAATTCGAAAGGGAAGCTGACTTCATCTTCGCAACTTTTTAGTGTTTGAAAATTCAAACAAGAAGGTAGCAAATGAGAAGCTGATTTCAGCCTCGTAAAAAGTCGAATGTTGAGAGATATTTTACAAGAAATTATTTTACTTTTGAGGAAGGGTTTCCTGCTGGGGATGCGAGAAAAGCAGCAAGAAGTCTGCATTTTGTCAACATTATGTTAGCAATTAAAATTTTGAAAATTTATTTTTTAAATTTGTGAATTGATTCAGAATCGTCCGCATCCACATTGCGATGCATCTAAGAATGGCTTTTTTCCCCCCACCCCTACAAACAATAGGGAACACCTGGGAGAGGGAGGAGGCAGGGAATACAAACAGGTGAGGATCCTATTCGGGAAGATAGGGAAAAGCAAAACAAAACACAAGCACATGGCTAAAAAGCACATGGCTACAACACAGGGGAGGAAACCGATGAAGACAGAGGGACAGAGGAAACCCTGACAGAACCCCCCTCCTAACGCACAGTTCCCGAGGCATGAATACAAAAGGCATCTAAGGCGGGAACTGGGTAGGAGGAGGGACCAGAAAAACAGGAAACTAGACAAAGGACAGAACACCAGACTGGGACCATAGACTAAACTGGGCATGGACTGGACAAGTGACTGAATAACAGAAACAGGGAGAGTGACCATGACAGTGACTGGGACAGGGACTGATACAAATCCATAAATGGGCACAAAAACATGAACATTAACAGGCATAGACACAGTAACAGAAACTGGAACAGAAACAAAACCTGGGGTAGAACACTGGCTAGACACAGGGGAGAACAAAAACTGAGTTCTTAGGCTGAGCAGGGGACTTCAAGGGTGGCTTATACCTGTATAAGTATCATGGATGCAAGGGTGGCTTATACCTGTATAAGTATCATGAATGTAATAACAATGCAGCCATATTTTAGAGGGGGTGCATTTCCTGGCAGGTGGACAGCCCTAAAAGGCATCCCCCTATAACTTACTTTCTGTTGACACAATGATATGTTTTTAATTACACATATTTTGGACCGGTATGTGATACCTGTTTAAGGATCATGGATGTATTAATTATGTTGCCAGATTTAAGAGGAGGTGCATTTCCTGGCAGGTGGACTGCCTCAAAAGGAATCCCCTATAACTTTTATTTCCATTCACACAACTATGATATGGTTTTAATCACACATATTTTGGACCAACATGTGATACCTGTATAAATATCATAGATGCAATAATAATGAGGCCATATTTAAGAGGGGGTGCATTTCCTGGCAGGTGGACTGCCTTAAAAGGCACCCCCCTATAACTTTCTTTCTGTCGTCACAACTATATTTTTTTTCATCACACATAATTGTGACCAACATGTTGCAACAACCCCCCAGCCAGATCCAAAGGAGCGTTCTTTTCCTTACAGGTGCACTCAACTGAAACACCTCGTGTAACCTTTTTAAATATTTTAGTAATATACAATTAGGGCCAGCATGTGTTTTCTGCAATAAATCTTAAGGGATGCAACCAATTCAGCAAAAATTTGCATTTTTTTGGCCTGCGTTCTTCTAATATAAAGTATTTCCCTGTCATTTTCTTTTATTTGAGATGACTATGAAATGATTTTAGCATTATATATTTGCAAACAGCATGTACCTGTGCAAGTTACATGGCAGCAATAAAAGTGTATCCTGGTTTATAACGAGTTGCATTTCCTGAGAGGTTATTACAAGTCACTTAGAGCACGATTTCTGTCAACATTTTTCAGCTATAAAACAGTTTTTTCAGAGTGTAAAATCTAAAGAAGCTGAACCAGATTGGTGAAAAACGTAACATGAGTAGTAGGCGAAAAGTTTTACTGCATCAATGCAGACTACTATGTCGTAGAATAAGTAAGCAGCGGTGTATGCAGGCTACATTATACATTTTGTATTATTATTATTTACGAGTCACTGTACTTTAGAAGAACATCTGGTGTATTTCCATTGTGTAAAACAGCGATTTAATTTGTTGTTGATCGAAATGAAAGTGATATTTTGCAAGTGCTTCAAGTCCATAAAGTAAAGTAAAAGCGGATTACCTCCAGTTTCTTGCAAAAGACGTTGAGGTGTATCTCGCGGCAGGGGTGCCGAATTCGGCACAACACCGGCCTTAAAATAACCAGACACAAAGTACAGTAAAAGTAAACACTGAAAGTGCTTCGTAAGTTCCGGGCTCACCTTTCACTAAGATACGCCAAAATAAAAGCTCAGTTGTCCAAGTTGCTGGTAGAAATAAAATGACTGCGCCATCGCAATTAGAAGATAGCAACATATAAATAAAATAACTATGTTATTTTTTCAGTGGAAATGCCTATAGTTCTTTGTTCTTTTTAAATTTGAAAACAGCCACAAATAACCCGGAAGTATGACCGTCCTCATGCCACGTCAGTATGAGTTTTGATTCACGATTACTTGTAAGTTGTCACATCTGTATGTTTTACATGACTCTCAAAGTGCATGCAACTACCTCAGATTTTATTTGAAAACTATAATCTCTTTTTGTGCATTTGAAGCAGTATGCATCTCGTCGTGTTGTTGATTGTGATACTGTGCACAGCTTTGACTAGTGGCACCGAATTAACCTTTGAGTTACCTGATAACAAGAAACAGTGTTTCTACGAGGACTTAGCAGAAGGAGTGAAGTTTGATATCGACTTTCAAGTAAGACGCTTTATGCTTGATGGGTTATATAGTCATTATTTAGACATCTTTAACAAAGTATGTGCTAGTATTTGGTATATTCTCCAGTGTGAGATATTTTGTAGTGTTTAATATGTATATTTATTCATTTAGCAGAGTCTTATCCAAAGCCACGTGCAAAATGTGCAAATAGTGAAAGCCAAGAGACAGAGACACAGTAACCAGAGAAGCCACAAGAATCCAAAAGAATTCACTACCTGAAAGACAAGGTCTCTGTCATAACTTGATCTTGTTAATCCAAGTGTAGACTTTGATGTCTAATTTAGTATGTTTAATAAACTTGGAAAAAAAGATTGCATGTCATTTCCACATCTTAAACATGAATTGTACAAAACATGCGAACCCTTCTTTATGGTGGGGTTGTCATTTTATGAAACCTTGACATTATTCAGTGCTGTCTGTTTTCTGTTTGATTCAAGTTATGGATCTATGGACTTGAGGATGCTTGCAAGTAAACTGCAATGATGTGCTGAGTTGGGGTCTGAAAAAAGCATAGAATTATACATTCTGCAGATGTCAAATTGCTGTGTAATTTTTTTTTAAACTAAATTTAGTCCATTTGTACTGTTTCAGTTATCTTTTACTGCTGTTACACCATGCATATTCACACTGGTAGTGCTTCAGTGAGGCCATAGGTCCTGAAGATAAAGAGCAGCAATGAACCACTTCTACAGATATTAGCAATGTGAGCACAAGAAATGAGTTTGTTGTTACTGCAAGGATGTGTAAAAGATGCAACAAAAAAAATGTGTTAACGAGAGGATCTTTTGCATTGCAGGTTATTGCTGGAGGCAACTATGACGTTGACTGTTTTGTGACGGATCCAGTCAATAATGTTCTGTATGAAGAACGGAAGAAGCAGTATGACAGCTTCACTCATACAACAACTCTAAAGGGTGTTTACAAAGTCTGCTTCAGCAATGAATTCTCCACCTTCTCTCATAAAACTGTGTATTTAGACTTCAGAGCTGGAGAAGAGATACCATTATTGCCTGATATGAACAGAGCAACAGCGCTCACACAGGTAGGAAATGCATATACTCACTGGGCTGTTTTTATTGCTCAGATGCCCTATTGTTTACTTTTGCACTCTAGTTTTTTGTCCTTTATGTTACTGACAGAAAACTGATAGAATGATCTGGAATAAAAAAGAATATTCTTACAGTAATTAATTGGGTAATAGGTCAACCTTGTCCATAATTCATTAGAAAATCATAAAATGTCTGCATAAAATCCACAAGAAATAATTACATTTCTCTATAAAGTCTGCTTCTTGTTTTACAGATGGAGTCAGCCTGTTTGTCCATCCATGAGATTTTGAAGATTGTGGCAGACTCTCAGACAAGGTATCGTCTTCGAGAAGCTCAGGACCGCATTAGGGCAGAGGACCTGAATGAGCGTGTGTCGTACTGGTCCATTGGAGAGACTATCATTTTATTTTTGGTCAGCCTTGGCCAAGTTCTCATGCTCAAGAGCTTCTTCAGTGAGAGGAAAACCAATGTAGCCACCAGCACATAGACCCTTTTTAGTTGCCTTCCCACTATTACACCACATTACAACCACTTGACTAAGTCTTTCCCCTTTTTAATGGAAGCTGCTTCTGTTAGTTATAATGCGTTTTATATTATATTATATTGTATTATATTATTATACTACCATTGTTAATAGCACGCACACCCCACCACTTGGTTTTTTTTTTTCACTATTGGGCTTAAAAAAAAACAAGTGTCCACTAGAATCATCTTTTGGTGCAAATTAATTATCTATCAATAAAATATTTGTTGAGTACTGAGAATGTTGCATTTTAGTGTAAGCTGGTTGGATCATTCTTTACCCTTTTTCCCATTATCCTTTTTTTTTTAACTTTTCAAAGCTTTTTGATGTTATGCATTGTAAGCCAAGAGTACTTTAGTTATCAACATTGTCATGTCATTTGTCTTTATCCATATTTTACTGTGTTTCACATATTTGTCATATTGCTTAGGCATGTTACATATTCAGAAAAGTGAAATTAAGGTGCAGTTCTCAGGATTTTTTGGATATTGAACACAATTCTTAAAATATCTGTTACAAATAGGGGATTCATTTTAGGCTAAACTGTTGTTAACCTGTTAGTGTAGCATAATTTAATTAGATATGCCAAATTCCATTAAACTATTATTTGAATGAAATTTTGTATGATTTTTTTTGTTAAATCCACTATCTTCTTGGTTTATTGATTATGTTCTAGTGGAATTGTCAGTCTTGCTGCCTTCCTACTTCATGGTTGCTGATTAAAAACAAAATATTGTTTTCATTTAAGCCATTGACCCAAAGCTGAAAAGCACTGCATTATAGATAATGTGACCCTACTCTGTTTTGAAATTATTAGAGAAAGTTCAGAATAAGCTTCATTGTTCTGTGACTGGATCTAATTAAATTGAATTGTCATGAATAATTACCACAAGGGTACTTGTCATTCAGCTTTTGTTTCCATTAATCTGGCAGCATTGTTTTTGGCATTATCATAATATATCTTATTCCATCAATCACATGGTTAGTGGACCAACAAATCACAATATATTTTTCTTATACACTGATATACATACACAGGATGCATCAAAAGAAAGAATCAAATGCACAAAAACCTTCTCTTGTTGAAAAAAAATGGTAACTATATAGTTACAAAATAATATTTTATTATTTGACAAAGTTGTAGTTGTCATCTTTTTCTGAACATGTTAGGAAAAGTGGGACATCTTTTAATGGCATTCTGATATATTTTGACTATTTTAGACACTTTTACAAGCTAGCATGTCATGGCCCCATGGCACGAAACAGTTATCAAAGCTTGTAATCCAGGATATTTCACAACAAGCTTAATCATGTATGTATATAGGGGTCTACATTATACTACCAATGGTAGCCTACCTTATTGATGCCTCTGTGTAGTGTGATAGTGTTAGTAGTTGCATACTTCTCTAAGTTACTTACACTCCTAATTCTTAAAATTCTAACATTTTATCACTTTAAGCAAAATGAATCCTAAATCACAACAGTTAGGGGAAATGCAGCATAAAGGAGCTGAAAGTCAGTCAGAATTAAAGTTGGTTTGGAATATAGAGAGCAGACTGAGCCTCAGCTTTGCCAGAGTGTAATAAATGTGCAGAAGTCCACCGAAAGGTGCTTGATTTTACACTTATTAAGCCAATTACCTTCATTATTGTAACAGACACATATGAATGTTTTGTTATTCTGTGTAGAATTGTGCTGCACTAGTAATGAAAGAAATATGAAAGTATTTATTTTCTTTTGTTTTACTTTTTCTATGTAATATCCTAATAAAAAGCTATATTCAGTACAGTTTTAACACATTTAGCTTTAGAAGGCTTGTAACAACTCACAAAGACTCAAAATACAAAAATTTAGTTTTTTTTGTTTTTTTTTTTAATCAGAGTCCCATGACGCATTCCCCAAAAAGTGTCCCTCTCTTGCTTTTAAAATGTAACTAGATGAGGCATACATGCTAGTGCATGAAATCATGGAAGGCCCTGCAGCACCAAGAGCCTTATTTCGACAACAAACATGTTGTAAACAATCAGATGAACACTGATGACCTGTATTTATTTATTTATTTTTTTTGGAGTATCATGCTGAATGCTCACGAACAATGCTGTCTCGTGCAGGCCGTAATGAATTACAATATTAGTTGTTAATAAATATTACGATGATAAATTGGTCATATATGGTTGAACACAGGTCAGTCAGGATTTGCAAATATAAACAACGGCTTGTAGCTATCAACTTTCAGAGCTTACGAATAAATGAGCCTTAGCCTTCCGCATGAACGAGATTAATAAATATGAATAGACTGCTGTGTCTGAGTGCCCTGTGTAGAGCGCTGTGCTTTCTCCGCGTTGACATCAAATCACTACTGGCAGAGGCACACGTAACAATCCAGAAGATGACTACGACAAGTCAGACAAGACAGACATTTTCTGATAAGCAGGTGTGAGAGAACATTGATATGTTATCACTGACATGTTGGGCTTAGCTTAATGCCTAGGTTTCGGAACCACTGACTGGGCATGATGTTCAGTCGACTGATGAGCGGCAGGGTTCGGAGTCTGGACAGAGAATTCAACTGCACTGTCCGGCTTCTAGACGACACAGAATACACCTGCACGGTTCAGGTCAGTTTTAACATGTTTTCATGACATGGTGGTTACCGTTGTCGCAGACACACGTGTTTCCTGTGCTGCTGCTGTTGCGCACTGAAGGTGAAAATTGTTTGTGCATGTGCCGTATACGATGATTCGCCACCCTGCCAAATGTGGACGTTGCTTTTTGTCTGCAACATTAAGATACCGTTTAGATATTTTGGTAACACATACAAGAAGACAATACTCGTATGGACGCTGTGTTTAATACCTTCAGCCCATTGCTCGGGATACAGCCAGACTTGCCCGAACCGTGTACTTAAAGGTAAGCATACATTCAGCCTCATGCATCACACACAAGGTTAGGAAAGGGAAATCTCTTTAGTAAGTGGTTGTTCTGCTTTGCATACTTTCTGCTATTGAACTGGGAAGCTCTCATTATTGTTTTAGTTGCTATGCTTCCAGCAGTAAGAGTCTTCAGTTAATTCACAGTCTAACTCTTTTACTATCTAAATGTGATAATTGCAACCCACTTTAACACATAGTGTTGTTATGGATTTGGTCTGAAGATTAAAGCTTTTCTTTTTACATCCATTCATCCCTTTATTAATGGACATGACAAAGTTAGAAGTTGTTTTTGCCATGTATTTCTTAAACACATTCCCTGAATTTTGATTCTTGCTCCCTTGGTTTAGATCAGAGAGGCATGCAGATTTTCCTGCTTGAGAAAAGCAAACTTGCTGAGACTCAATAAAGCGTGTAATTTTACATAAAAGTGTGGTGATCTAACTCTCTATCTTGCAAATCAAGTATTTGTCTACAGACCTTTTTGATAGTTTCGAGGTATTGACAGGCCAGACCTGACAAACTTTTGTCATACTGTGTGTCCTAGGATCCTTAAACACACCTGAAACAAACAATCAAAAAACCTTCATTTACTTAAGTTGAATTACATATACTTCTTCAAAAGGTGATGGACCTGGAATTTTAGGGCAAAACAATGTACGGAACACTTTCAGGATGTACCTCAGTGAGTGTGCTTGTGGGCAAGGTCATTTATGTAATGTTTTTGGGAATGTCAGTCTTCAACCATGACATTCCATCATCCTTATAATTCTATGTGATGCTGTGGTCTCCACAGCAACAGAACGATTCCATTAGTCTCCATCTGCTCCTGCACACACACACACACACACACACACAATGAAACGTCATTAATACATAGCAGGTCTCCCCTTTTTCTCCTCCTCTTCTTTCTTCTCCTGTCTTCTCCTCTGTCCACAGTCCTTTTCTATTCTCATTATTGATTGGTCAGAGGGGTTCTGATAGAGACAAAATGCTTATTAGTGAAATATGGCCCCTCTCTTTTGAAAGACTGCTGACTTGTATGCATGAAATGTCATTGGACCAGTAGCCTCAGATTTAAGTTTGCACACCCTAAACTTGTCAAACACTCGTGTGCAGATCAACTCTTATTTGGATCTGTTCAGAAAGAATGTTTCAGTTTTTTTAATCTGACTGGGTTTTTGCCATAGTATGCAATAGGAATATTTGAATTTAATGTAAAGCAAGATACAGCTATGTATATAGTGTTGCTCTTTGGGCTGGGGCCTATGATATGTTAAGGACACTCAGCAGGTTAAACTACTTATAATTTGTGTGTGAGTGTGTGTTATGTGAGTCAAGCCAGTGAGTGCCAGTCAAGCATATCCAGGTAGATATGTTCCCTTGCTTGGCACAATCCTACTATATGATACACACATATATTGCTCTTTCTGTTGTACCCAAGTCACCAGCTCATTTACTTATACCCAGTGTTTACGCCATAAGCATTGCTTTTCCTCTAGTTATAATTGAGCACGAATTTGGTCAAATTACCTGTTATACTGTTACTGTTTTCATTTATTCTCCACCACAGTCCTTGCAGTTCAAATCGAAGGGCAAGCTCAAATAAGCTCAACTCACTGTGTAATTGTTTGGTTAAATAACTTTAGGGACCACATTGCTTCCTGCTTCATTGGAGCCGCCTCTCTCTTCAGTCACATTTAATCAACACATGATCCTAGAGGACAGAAAAAAAATAAAAATAATAAATGAATTTGTCACAAAATGCAGTGCTTATTAATGATGAGATCTTTTCGGTAACTCCAAGCAATGCTTATTTGTCTAGATATCCATGCAAAAGTCCTCATTTTGCGGTATGTGAATATGGAACATCATGATAAACTATGTAACCCAATTTGCGAATCAAGAATCAAGTTTCCTGTCTTCAGCAATATGGTGTGCTCCATGAAAAGTCATTGATCAGAGCTTTGAAAAATCCCCAGTAGGATGTAGGAGTGTGGCTTATTTTACTACAGTTGCATTATTCAGCTTCAATTCAGTTCAGTCCAATTCATTGTACAGTGCTTTTTACAATGGATGTTTTCACAAAACAGCTTTACAATAATCAGGGTTCAAGCTCTACTAAGCAATCTGAGGATAGCAGTGGCAAAGAAAAACTCCATAAGAGCATGAGGAAGGGTCATTGAAAGGAAGCAAGACTCAAAAGGGGACGCTTCAAGATTACACAGTATCTTTGTGGAATGGGTTCACATACAGAGAAAACAAAAGCTTTATGTATTTATGCCGTACGGGTAACATACAGACACAAAACCAAAGTGTTAGCATTAAGTAACCCTCGCATACTATTTGGATCAACTTTTACCCATTTTAAGTAGTAAAACAGCAATACTAAATGCTCTAAATCTAAAATCTGAATGTTGTGTTTTGACTTTGGAATTTTATAAATGTACAAAAATTTCACATTTTTGTCCAGCTCCCATGTTTTTGTACAGATTTACTGGCCATCTACTAGTTTTAAGAACAATGATATTGTTCTGCTCCTGCTAAAGCGTTGTAGTGCTCATGCCTGCTAGTTCAAAGTTCTTTATTGTCATTGTCATAAAACAACAAGGCATCATGGTATCTCCACAATTAATTAGTTAATAAAAAGACATCCATAATAAATAATAATTTAATGACTTAATAAGGCACCTAAATTGTGATGGAATTAGTGACACTTATGTTAAAGGGATGTTCAGTGAGGGGGTAGTGGGGGGCATGGCACAGCTATTAAGTTGTCTTATTGCTTGAGGTGTAAAACTGTTAGCCAATCTGGAAGTCTTTGCAGGATCTGAACCTTCTACCAGATGGTAATAATTAGAAAAACGGATGAACGGGGTGTGATGAGTCTTTGAGGATACCGAGAGAGCATTTCAGGCAGTGGGAGGTCGAGATGGTGTTGATGTCTGGCAACATAAATCCAATGATTTTTCCTGCAGTGTTGCTTACCCACTGTATGGCTGTCTACTCTGCCTTTGTGCAGCTGAAAAAACATAGCACCATGATAAAGGTTTATCAGCAGCTGCTGTGGCAGGTTTACCTTCTTTGGTTTCCTCAAAAAAAGAGACGTTGTTGTGCTTTCCCGATTACAAAGGCTGTGTTGGTATCCCAGGACAGTTCCTCCATCAATTACAGGCCGATGAACTTGAAGTTGGTGCCCCTATTCTGTCCTTATTGCGTGTAACGTAACACAACTTGACAGATAGCTAAACAGTTGGGTTTGAATAAAGAGCTGGACCAAAGGCATTTCAGTGTCTTCAGTGTTTATTTTATCCAGATTCCCAATCTTTTTTGTGAAACTGCAAACAAACATTACATATCTTCAGTTTTGGAAGACATCAGTATGCTTACAAAATAGACCACTGAGATATTTGTAAAGCAACATGCTTTGTATCCATACAGTATGTAATATAGAAAGGCATCTAACATTACTAACAGCTCAAGAAAATGTAAGTAATATTCTACTCATCAGCATCTTAAAACATAATGCACAAAGTTTTACTCACAAACAGTGATGTCTAAGGCACAAAACATGAGGATGGACAGAGATGAAATTACACCTGCTTCATCACGCACAGCTCAAATCCAAGATGGCTGCACTGACCTCTAACCCTCATCATGTGACTTAACTAGAAAATCAGAATTAAGGAACACATTTGTCTAACCTTAGCAGCACCATCTAGTGGCTGTAAAATAGAATAGTCAATGTATAAAAGAACATTCACAACACCCCCGTGTGCTGACTCTGATCTCCTAAAGTCCATAACAATCTCCTTAGTTTTCCTGATGTTCAGGCTTAAATTGTGGTCATGACATCAAACTGCCAGATATTGTACCTCCTTCCTATATGCAGACTCATCATTGTTTGTAAGGAGGCCGAGCACCGTGATGTCATCAGCAACTTAAGTAATTTGATGGGTAGGATCAAATGTTAGTTTCAGTGTAGGGCATGATGTGAAGTGATTTATTTTTATCCAAGATAAAATTAACCTCGCTTTTGTAGAATATCGCCACCTCATGCCAGATTGGGGTCAAACTTGATTGGCTATTAGGGATTGCCTGTGTGGATGCAGCATTCGTTTTTCATGATGATTTGCCAATGCTAAGCCTTCCAAATGCCTGTTGAAACTTTCTGGCTATGATGGCAGACATATTTTTCTAACAACTGAGTTGTCTATAACCCTCAGTTATAAAGTAGCCCAAAGATGCAGCATGCAAAGTTTCAGCTTAATCAGACAAGAGGTTGCTGAGAAACAGTTTTTGGATATTTTAGTCCCCCCTATTGAAAAATTGATTTCAGTCTTGGTGAGCTTCCTCAAAATCATGTTGGGTATAAGACTCTTCAGTTTCATGAAAATTGGTCAATGCACACCCGATCTGTGATATTAGCTCAATCCAGGGTGTAATTGACATGTGGTGGCCATATTGCTTAAAAATACGCAAATTTTTACATATTTCTCCACCCTCCTGCGAACATTTAGACCAATATTCTGTGGATATCTTGAATACACCTACCCTCCAATTTTGGTGTTTGGATGCCTTACAATATCTGCTTTCCAAACAGTTTTAGGGCAGAAAAAGAAGAACAAAAAATCCTAGCAAAAGCAATAGGGTTCCATGCACCTATGTTAATTAAAAGATTCAAGGAATCCGGAGAAATGTCTGGGCTAAGTTTTGCTCATTTAGTGTCAGGTTTCACTAACTGTGTGTTATTTCTAAATTTATCATGTAAGCAATTAAAAAAAAAAAATAACTGTAAGGTGGCACAGCATTTAAGGAACTTAATTTAAGGTGGCACTAAATTTAAGGTGGCATTGAATTTAACAGAGCTGCATTTAAGGTGGCACTAAATTTAAGATGGCTCAGAATTTAAGGTGGCACTGAATTTAAGGTGGAACTGCATTTAAGGTGGCACTGAATTTAAGGTGGACCTGTATTTAAGGTAGCAGTGAATTTAAGGTGGAACTGCATTTAATATAGCACTGAATTTAAGGTGGCAGTGGTTTAAAGTAGCGGTATAAAGTAGCACCTAGCAACACATTACCTTCCACCATGGATACTGTAGCAACCGCTACAGTCTTCCACCATTTTAATGTTTTAACGTAATTAGCTGGCTTTTTTAAGCCAACTTAAAGTTCGTTTACAAATTTTCCCTTTCTAGTTAAATTTGCCCTCGGACCCAGCTCAACCTAGCCAGAGCCTTTTTGTTTTTTGACTGTTGGGTACTGTACTGTGTGTCTGCGATTTTAGTAAATGGACTGCTAGCTGACTTACTAAATAGGTTGGTTTAAACAGTGTAAAAAATAATGTTTTTGTTCAGAGGTAAAGAATAAAATAGAACAAAACTTTGTGTGAAGAGAGGGGTCATTTTTGCTTTGATCATTTTGTTATAAAGCAATGACAACCAGAGTTTGCTTTTTTTTGCATCTTCTGGCGCCACTTAAGGTGACTGCCTTTTCCAGTAGCTCCGTGTCTGCGTTTTTTGCTTTGTAAATAGTCTTTTTGCCTACTTTTTTTTTTCTTTTGTGGACATCAAGGCGTGAATAGTGAAAAGTTGTACAACTTTTTAAAAACTTTTATTCACTTTTTAATGGAACTTTCAGACTATGGCTGCACTGCACGTCTTTACTTTGTCTACACTAGGGGTCAGCTTATCGCGCTGAGGAAGCCGGTGGCTTTGCTGACAGCAGCAGAGATATAAACCAAGGCCCAATCCCATTTCTTATTTTTAACACTGCTTCTTGTTTTTCGAGCGTCACCTTGCCCCTTGGAACTAAGCTACAGTGAGTAGTGGTTGAAATCGTCTCCTACAAAATGGAACAACCCTCAAATAAAAAAGAACATTACTTCATTAACAGGCTACTAGCAGAGGAGGGTAAAGTTCAGCAACCTTGCTGCTGGTCTTTAGTTAAATTTAGGGCATCATATGCCTTCAAAGAGGAGGGATGAGACAATTATTAATTATTGCCCACCCCTAATTCTTCCGTGATATGAAGCTGAAGTCAGCTATTTATTAGCTTCTTGTTTGAAATCTCCTGTTCCATCTTAAATCGTTCGGGAGTTCTGATGTCTAAGGCAGCAGAATGTAACTGCTGCACCATTTAAGGTGGAATTTGGATATTTAGCTAGCTAGCTACCGAGACATTGGCGTACTGCTAGCGATTTTTTATGCTTGTTATGAAGAAAAGATTCATAATACGTTCAAACGACACTAAACTAAGATAATACAATGGTTATCGTAATTTTTAACAGACAAAATACTTACATTTGTGGGTTTCTTTGGTTGCTTCCGCAGCCATCTTGCCAGTTTTTCTTTTTTCTCATAACACCCCATTTGGAGTGTGCCTCTGAAAACCTCCATTTGTAGGGCCATTTAGCCCTAACACTTTGCTCTATCCCTTTAACTCAACAAAAATTAGGACACCCTACTCCTAGGCTTGAACACACAAAACGGAGGGCTAAGTGGTAGGGGCAAAGGGTGAAATGGGATTGGGCCCTAATGTTCCTGCAATAATTATGTGGAACATACGGTCACTGGCTAATAAAATGGACGAACTGTCCTACTCTAACATGGACACAATGGGAATACCAGGAATGCAGCATTTTGTGTTTCACAGAGTTATGGCTGAGCCCGTGCATACCAGACTCTCATGGTCATCTGAATGGTTTTACTTCTGCGAAGGCGGACAGAGACCACAAACAAACTCGTAAGAAGAAAGGAGGTGGGCTGGCTTTGTTCATAAATAACAGATGGTGTAATCCTGGTCACATCACAGTTAAAGAAGTATTCTGTAAGCCAGACATTGAACTGTGTTGTAGCTCTGCGCCCATCTGCTGCATGAGTTTTCCCACATCATCCTGTGTGCTCTGTACATTCCACCTTCAGCTAATGCAGACGCAGCGTGTGACGTCACCAACTTCATTCTTAAAAGAAATGAAAAATTGTTATTCTTCAAATAACTTAAGAATTCTCTAAATTTTTTAAACTGTTTTCTTAAGAATAATTCTAAGGATAAGTAATATTTTTGAAAATATTATGTTTTTAACATTACAACAGACTCACACTCATCTTAGGCTTTAAGAGTTGGCAAGGTCAGCATGTAAATTCATCAATTTGTCTGCTCCTGCCCATCTTCATCTTGCTTCATCCCCTATAGATCTTGTTCACCATTTTTTTTTTACCCCATTTGTTTGCCCCATTTTGCTCCTCTGAGCAGATTAAACCTAATAACAAAAATAACAATACAAGTTCAAATCTCACGTCATATATGGTATAGGGTAAAATTGCAGCCTACATAAAAAAAATGAAGATTTTCTAAGGAAAATAATTAAGATTATCTTAAGAGAATATTTGAAAACTTCTTAGGTTTTTTTTTTTTTTGAGAATTGCATTTAAGAACATTATGAACTTCTTAGTGTTTGTCTTAAGAACCTTTGTAAGTTTTTTCCTTAGAAAGTTTTTGTGAATCCAGCCCCTGATCCCTAGTGCATTCATTGAAGTGTCTGGAGACTTCAGCCATGTTTCCCTCTCATCATGTCTGCCCATTTTCAGCCAGTTTGTGGACTGCAAGACGAGAGAGAACAAGACACTGGACCTGTTGCCAGTGTTAAAGAGGCATATAAATCTACAGCTCCCCCCCCCCACTGGGCCATTCAGACCATAACCTGGTTTACCTCAGTTCACAGTACAAGCTCATGATTCAGAGACAGTGAGAAAGTCCTTGGGAGCCACAGCATTTTATGTCTATTTTTATCTTGGCTGTAAATATGCCTCAGTATGTGCTAATATCTTAGTGTAGGCTAAAAAACATAATATAAACAAAAACACAAACTTACGTATCTCAGGAAACTTTTCCGAGAGTTTCTTGTAAAATGTCTCTCAATGTTCGACTTTTTACGAGGCTGAAGTCGCTTCTCATTCTCCTGCTTCTCGTTTGAATTGTCCCGTTCCACCTTAAATGGTGCTTGAGGCGCCAGATTGTACTGCTGCGCCATTTAAGGTGGAAAGGAAAATTTCGAACAAGAAGCTGGTGAATGAGAAGCTGACTTCAGCTTTGCGAGTTGTTGCAGACGTATCAGGAAACCAGCTGAGTGATTATAAATGCAAATAAGTCAGTTCATCTCCAAATTATCGATGTTTGTCTTAAATCTTTCTCTTTGCCATTTCGTTGTCTGCATTGCTGTGTGTCCAGCAGTTTGTGCGTCAGTCTTCAGCGATAAAGGTTGGTGAATTAGCAGTCATGCGTTAACTCCAGCGTTTATGACTTTAATGTGAAAAACTCTGTTAGAACTGTGTGTTATAACGATTTTACAGCAAAAGAGCTAGTTCTGCTGTGGAGCTGCTCTGCAGCACTGGAGAGATTATTCAGGCCTGAATCTCACTCCAAACAGAGTCAGGGTGACTGATGAGGGTTTTGAGGCTACAATGTTACTGAAGTTTAACAAAAGACTCTGAATGTCATGTCTGTACACATCTTGCTGAAACATTTAAATTGGAGCAGCTTTATTTCAACAGTTGACAATGCTTTGTACAAAGTTGTTTGGTTTGTATACACTTATTTTTGTAGATTTATGTTAGGAAAACCTGTAATGATTGACTTTTCCTTTACTTAGTCTAAATTTTTGTAGGATATCATGCCTATGGTTGTGTAAGCTTGATTGTTGGTTACACTTAAACTTACTTTTTGGTGATCTTTTTGCAGCTTTTCAGTTGTATATTTCTTTATGGGGCATGATTAAATGTAGTGTCTTGTTCACACTATCAGTTGGGCTTGTTTGGTGTGTCAGGTGGAGATTCACAAACATTCTGACAATCATGCTTTGAAAGTAGCTAAAAACTATCCGCTACCTTTTCTGGAAAAGTATCTAAATTGTAGCTAGCTACCCCATTTTGGGAAAGTAGCTACAAAGTAGCTAACTACAAATTTTTCAGTAGCTTTTAAAAAAGCTGAGAGGGAACAGAGCAAGAGAGAGGGACGAGCAGCAGCAACTGCGAAAGACTGTAGGAGAGCTGAAAAGGCTAACTGACTGAAGCCACTGAAAAGTGGCCAACATAGTTTAGGTTGTTTGGAGTTTGTTTATTTTGTGTGGGTGAAATAAAAATAGGGCTGCTGCGACACTGAACACTGCCTCCAGCGTCCTCCTTGAGCCTGGGATAGCACATGCCGTGCTACACATGTTCTTTGACTTATTCAGCGCATTTTACACCATACAGCCGGTACTGTTAGAGGAGCTAAGCTTTAGCTGATGACGGTGGATGAATCTATCATCTCATTGATAATGGACTATCTTACTGGATGACCTAAGTATATGCAGAGTCTTCTGCCAAGAAGACTCTGTCTCAGAAAAAGTGGTATGCAGTGTTAAGTCAAGGGACTATATTAGCCCCATTTCTGTTCAGCCTGTACACCTCACTTTAGGAAGTCCAAACCTGCCTTGTCATCAGTCATTATGCCATTGATGGAGTAGATGTGGAGGTCGTGGGGACATTCAAGTATTTGGGTGTGCACTTGGACTACAAAGTGGATTAGAACTGTAACACTCTGTGTACACTCCAAAGCCCCATGTACTTCCTGGGGAGGCTGAGGTCTTTTGGTGTGTGCACAAAGTTCATATGGACATTCTACCAGTCTGTTGTAGCAAGTGCTTTATTCTATGCTGTTGTGTGCTGAGGCAGCAGCATTAACAAAAGTGCTCTGAACAAATTAAACAAACTTATTAGGAAGGCTGGCTCTGTTGTAGGAGTCAAGCTGGACTCTTTGGAGGTTGTGGCAGAACAAAGGGCTCTCAACAACCTGTTAGCCATCACTGGAAACAGAGAAGCACATTAAGTGGCAGCTGTGCTGTGTTAAAGAGCACCTTGTAAGATCTTTCTTACCCACTGCTATATGGTTCTGTAACGAGTCTCCTTACTGCAGAGACGGTACTGATCTCCTGCTGCCTGAACTGTGCTGAACCACATCACTCATCTCTCTTATTAATACACACTGCAATATATCATAACCGCTACTGTAATGACACTCTCACTGTGCACTGTGCAAATACAACAAACCTGTCTTATATGTTATGTAAATATGCAAATAGATATACTTTTATTCCATTTTCTCACACTTTTTGTTTATTTTTTATTAATGCCTAATTTATGTCTATTTTTATTTATATTTTATTTCTGCCTAATATATTTAAGTTTGTGCAATTATCTATCTGTCTAATTTTTTTAACCATGAAACCATATGAAACTGTTTATATTTCACACATACATACCTCTACTCCTAGCTACATCTACATTTCCATATTTCATTTGGCTACATTTCCTTTTTCAATGAAGACACCATTTATTGATGTCATTTCTGATGGGGATAAGAAACTATTTTGAATATTTAATAAAGGAGGCAGATCATGAAAACTTTGCTACAGTTGTGTGTGTGCCTTTTACTTTTGAACTGTCTGAGGACAGTTTCCATGAAAACTAATTTCTGTCTAAATTCCATAAAATTCTCAACTTTAGAATTTAAAAGGTAATTCTTTTTATATTTGTAAATTTCAACAAAATTCATGTGTTAAGATATAAACAAAGAGTGGTTTGAGAGAATTAGTGAGAATTTCTGTGTCCAAAAACTGCACCAAGCAGCTATGCTGATGTAAACCTACCACTTTCTCTAACATAAAAAGTATTTTGAGGAGATTGTACTTCATATATGTTGGGAAAAAATCATTTTCTGAAGTGCCAAAGGCTGGCATTTTAACAACCACATTAGTAGGAGCATATCCTGGGGTGATGCCACAGGGGCACTGGCCCCAGTGAAAACATTGAAATACCCCTCTTATGTTAATCACCACCTCCAAGCATGTCACTGACTGATTTAAAATATGGTACTTGTGAAATTAGGCACATTAGATATTTTACCATGTCTGCAATTGACAGTAAAATGCACTGAATAATATATGAAATATATTGAATATATGAGATATACCAGCTGTGTGGTTAATGCTTAATAAAATGTTCTCTTTATCACAAATGTCTCTACAGATATAATGAGATAAATATGGAGCACTGTGTATTTGAAAATATTTAATTGGCCCTTGAATAGCAACTGTGGCCCATTATGGCCCCACCTCAGAATCATAGCATCACCACTACACAGTAGTTATGTAGTGAAGCTAAGATTTGATAAAATTTAAAATACTAATGTCACATTAACCCCCTTGTGTTTATGTTACAGAGTGATGCAAAGGGACAGTGGCTTTTTGAGCAGATATGCCATCATCTAAGCCTGCTGGAGAAAGACTACTTTGGCATCAGATATGTTGATCCAGACAAACAGAGGGTGAGTCACAGTGGTTAGACCTGAAGAAAAGATGACAGAATCTGCAATTATTTCAAGTAATAAAGAGCAGTAGTGAGTTCTGCAAGGATATCAGGTCTCTCCCTATGGAATTAAATAGAGTGCTATCTCACACTGTAAAATTGGCTCGTCAGATCTACCTAAAAAAATTACTTCATGTGGTAAAAAAATGACTTTGAAAAAAAAATGTTCATTCAAAGTATTTATTTAGGTTAAATCAAACTAATTAATTTACTTGTTACCACATGAAGCAATTTTTAGGTAGCTCTGATGAACCATTTTTTTTAAAGTGCACCGCTACAACAGGATAGGATCAAAGTATCCAAAGCACACAGCTGTGCTCTAAACATTCAGAGCACAGATCACACTCTCTATTCAGCAGCTAAGCTAGTAATCTGTGAGGAATATATTTCATATTAAAGCACCCTAAAATGGATTTAATTTAGTTTTGAAAAGTGTTCCTGCACACATAAAAAGACAAAATACAAAACCAAACCTAACAAACAACAAGCAACTTTAGTGGAGGAATAGGGCTAGATACAACTTGAAAGGAAGCCCCTATAAATACTCAGTTTACCAAGTTTATTGGTTTGTACAACAAACCTTATTGAATCCCCAATAAGCAAGCTGAGGGTGACAGTAGAAAAAGAAAAACTTCCTAGAAGTAAGAAACCGTGAAAGGAACAAATACAATATATACAGTACTGTGTATGTAAATATACAATAATACAAGTTTGCAAGGTACCATGGCATTCTGAATATACTGAAGAAAGATCCATTAGATAAGCCAGTGACCAGTGTTTATTAGTCAGTCCAAGACCTGTTGGACTACTGATTGTGTCAGACAAATGCCAGATAGTAGGCAAGAGAGCAAATTAGGATGAATCATTATGTTTTTTGGTCAAAGGCTTTAGGACTGCTAATTTGAAAGCATGAGGTGTATACCCAGTGAAGAGAAGAGATCACTGAAAAATAGACCAATCTGTTAAATTAGAATTAAGGATTTTAGCTGCTGTATTGATGTGGTTATGCTGATCTGGTTATATCCTTTATCCACGTGCAGATGTGTTTGATAGCTGAAGTTGAATGCATTCTCTGAATTTTCTGTCTGGATAGACATTTGTAACATTACTAATGAAACAATGAGAGAAAAAAATAAAGTTTGAGTGAGAGAGAGCTTTTGTTTGTTTTTGTTCTCTGCATTTTAAAGTAATCACAGGGCAATAACAGCCTCTCCTCTTGTGTTGCATTAAAATGTTTCACAACAAACTTGCTGAAAAGAATTCATAGAGAAACACATGCAGAGAATGATGCAATAAATATGCAAAGGTAATGCAAAGCCTTATCAGTTAGTATAGAGAACTTTTCTCATGACAATCAGTAGTTCATTATATAGCCATTTCTGCACCCAGTATAATCAGTTCTTTTTGATTTTTACTTCTCAGCATTGGCTGGAGTGTACCAAGCCAATCACCAAACAGATAAGATGTAAGTCTGTTTTTACTTTCCGAAGCTTTCCAGTTATTTTCTGAAATGTAGTGGGGCACCAAAGCAGGGACAAGACTGTGAAAGAGAATATTTTAGTCCTGTGGTTCCAAAATCATGAGGAAAATCTAGAAACTGCATTTCTTTCTCTTTTTCATCACAGCTCAGCCACCATTCACTATGTGTTTGAGGGTGAAGTTCTACCCCCCTGACCCTGCTGCTCTAAAAGAGGAGATCACCAGGTGCTTCCAGTAACCTATATATGTGTGTGTGTGTGTGTGTGTGTATATACACTAAATTGCCAGTTTAATAGGTTAGCACATAAAGGGCTTAACTAAGGCAAAAGCTTAAATGAAAATCAGCAGGCTAAAATTCTAAAAGTAGAGAGAGAGAGAAAGGAAAAAGAGAGAGAGACAGAGAATGTGGTGGGGGTGAGAGCACCTGCAGTTGTCTTCCCCATCTAATGCAGACTTGGTAAAAGCAGTTATACCTTTCTGCAAATTACACGTTAATCACACAATCTACATGCATGCTGATTCATGGTTACAAATCAAAACTGTTATTATGCCGACTGAGATGCGCTCTGGAGCAAAACTAAATGCAGTGTCATTGGTGAAATTCAGTCAACAAAGAGAGAGTCCCTCTTAATGATGTCAGCAAAAGCCACTCTCAGTAACAACAAGGGCTGAAGGCCTTGAAGGTTTCCAAATAGTCACTTTTCACCCAGGTATATATACATTTACCCAGTTAAAACATAATAATTAACTGTTTCTTGAATAATCCTTAGTTAGTAAGTATATATACACTGATCAGGCATAACATTGACCTTGTTTCTACACTCATTGTCCATTTTATCAGCTCCACTTACTATATAGGTGCACTTTGTAGTTCTGCAATTACAGACTGTAGTCCATCTGTTTCTCTGCATACTTTGTTAGCCCCCCTTTACTCTGTTCTTCAGTGGTCAGGAACCCATGGACCCTCACAGAGCAGGTACTATTTGGGTGGTGGATCATTATCAGCACTGCAGTAACACTGTTGTGGTGGTGGTGTGTTAGTGTGCGTAATGCTGGTCTGAGTGGATCAGACACAGCAGTGCTGCTGGAGTTTTTAAACACCTCAGTGTCACTGCTGGACTGAGAATAGTCCACCAACCAAAAATATCCAGCCAACAATGTCCTGTGGGCAGCGTCCTGTGACCACTGATGAAGGACGACACTGATGAAGGATGACCAACACAAACTGTGCAGCAGCAGATGAGCTATCGTCTTTGACTTTACATCTACATGGTGGACTGACAAGGTAGAAGTGTCTAATAAAGTGGACAGTGAGTGGACACAGTGTTTAAAACTCCAGCAGCACTGCTGTGTCTGATCCACTCGTACCAGCACAACACACACTAACACATGCCTCTACATCAGTGTCACGCAGTGCTGAGAATGATCCACCACCCAAATAGTACCTGCTCTGTGAGGGTCCATGGGGGTCCTGACCACTGAAGAACAGGGTAAAAGGCGGCTAACAGAGTATGCAGAGAAACAGATGGACTACAGTCTGTAATTGTAAAACTACAAAGTGCACCTATATATTAAGTGGAGCTGTTAAAATGGACAAAGCACAGAAACAAGGAGGTGGTCATAATGTTATGCCTGATCAGTGTACATATATTTGTTTTCTTTAATTTGATGCCAAAATTTAAGAACATAACAACTTCAATTGACATTCCAGTTCAAATCAAAACTCACACCTTTGTCAATTTACAATAAAATTAGCTAAATGTTCATCTGTTTCTGTGTGGATGAATAACACTGTATATAAAAGATCAGGTTCGTTTTCGCCCAAATACTATTTACTCTAAGCTATTCCACTTCAAACTACAAGCAAAGTATACTCAAACTTTATGAATAAGGCAAAAATACTTAATTATTCTTTTCTGAATCAAAATATATCTCAATCAAAAGATTAAGTACAAGTATAGGCCAAACATACTTAGACTTTTCTGTACACTTGTCACGATAAGCCAAGTATACCCAAGTATAATTTTGTTTAGTATGTTACTAATAAGTACATAAAAAGTAAAGTGAAAGCATGTTCACTTAAAACACCACGGCGTCTTTTACGACTGCAACACCCATTAACATGCCACTACCATGTTGGTATCACTGCTACAAAGAGGCCAAAAGTATGTGAACACCCAAACATCAGATATCAGATATGCTTGTTGAACATCTCATTCCAATACCATGGGCATTTATAAAGAGTTGCTCGCCTCTTTGTTGCTGCAGCTGTCTCCACTCTTCTGGGAATACTTTCCACTAGATTTTGGAAAATGGCTGCAGGAATTTGCTTTCATTCAGTCATAAAAGCATTGGTGAGGTTGGGCACTGATGTTGAGCAATAAGGCATGGCTTACAGTCGCTGTTTTCCCAAAGGTAATTGATGGGGTCAGGGATCAAAATCAGGCTAGTCAGGTTCTTCCACACCAAACTTGGCTGACATTTCTTTGTGGACCTTGGTTTGTGCTCATGGACATTGTCATGCTGATACAGGAAGGCTTTACTCAAACTGTTGCCAAAATTTGGAAGCATACAATTCTGTAGAATGTCATTGTATGCTATAGTACTCACTTCAAGAAAAACCCAGACAATTATACCTCCTCCACAAAACTTCACAATTGGCATTATGCATTCAGGCAGGAATGCATTTCCACTGTTGCAGAGTCCAATGGTGGTGTCAAGGGTCCAGGGATTGAAATTCACAGGTTTTACTGGGGGAGCCTGGGTTTTCTTTCTTTTTTTCCATAAATGCACCCTAAAATGCCTGTTTCTGGCTCATTCTCATGTTGAAATACGCTTTCACAACATAACCTTTACATTCTCTTTTATGTATTTCAGGGTCTTTTATGTATTCCAGGTATTATGTATTCACACAAACACACACACACACACACACATTGTGCATTACAGTGCAAAAATGTTTTTTTTTTGAACTGTTAAAACTGTTTAAACTTTTTACCACATTTTGCCAGTAGTAAAACACTATATAACATTAAAATAAATACAAATGAACATAAATACAGTAAAACATGAGGAGAATGTTCTGTTTTAAAGGAAATATGTGAATATGTTTGTTAGAAGAATAGTTAGAAGAACACAAGTTTTTTGTTCCTGTTGACTTTCTGAACTCCAGTCCTTAATGGATTTCTTCAGTTCCATCAGCAGCACACCTCATTTAATTTAATAAAGGATTGATTATATAAACTAGATATTTGAGAAATAAATTCTCACTGACCAGGTAAATATGCTAGATTTACATATCATTATCACTGTTTATTTATAATAAGAAGCAATATAAATTGTATTTATGTCTAATGCCCTACTTAACTATGATGCTCATTCATCAAGAATGACAGTACCGTAATCATTTATCTAAAACTTTTTCTGATACTTTAATCTGATTAGTCAGAGTACTCATGTGAGTACAGGCGGCATTTTTTATTTTTTTTTTTATTGACCTGTTTCTTCCTTGCTGAATTAGTGATTTTTAGTACACTTTTTCTCTCAGCTGCACCCTTCTCTTCTAAACAATTTTGCGAAGAACACAAATTGTGATGCTGTAGGCAAAGTTAGTTGAGTAACTAAGCTAGTTCACCAGCTCTATTGCACATCCCCATTTTTGACACACATACTGTTTATTACGCATGTGTTTAAAAGAAATTAGACAGTCATGATAGACCATGGGACAGAGAGGCAGTAAAGCAGGTTTGTTGACATCAACTGTGCAGCTACAGTTTAGTCAATTTATCATGGATAAAGTATAGTCAATTTATCATGAACAGGTTACTGACAAAAATTTCAACAAAAAACACACAAAAATATTGATTACATAGAGCAGACTATGTGACTTTCCACTGACTGAGTGAGCCATAGGTTGATTCAACACACACTTCCCTTAATGCACACTATTTTGAACAGAGTAGAAGAACCCTAAAAATGGTCACAGAGATGCTTCAGCAGGCACTTTGAAACTTGGTAGTGAGTGTTACAACTGAGGGAGGACAGCCGATATTTACTTGCTTTGCAATCTGTGGCCCCTTCTGTAAGCTTGTGTGGCCTACCTAATTGCAGTTAAGCTGTTGTTGCTTCAAGACATTTTTACTTCAAAATAATAGCACATACAGTTGACCTGTGCAGCTCCAGCAGGGCAGAAATTTGACTGTTGGAAAGGTGGCATCCTATAGCAGTGCCATGTCGATACCTTATGTTTCCGTTTGCACTGTGTGTGGTTGAAATGCTGAACTCAGTAATTTGAAGGGGTGCCCATATCCTTTTGGCCATGTAGTGCATATGGCAGGTGTAACTGATGAAAAGGCCAATGAGTGTAGGTACAAGGTACCTAATAAACTGGCAACTCTATATATAAATTTTAAATGACTATTATAGTAACAACATTTACAACAGACTTAAACATAATTTCTGTTGAGCCCTTTAGGACAAAAAATTTATAGTAGACTGATCTAACAATATATATTTTTTCTTATTGATGTTTTCAGATATCTGGTATTTTTGCAGATTAAAAGAGATTTGTATCATGGCCGACTTTTGTGCAGGAGCTCAGATGCTGCTATGCTAGCTGCATATATTCTACAAGGTGAATATACAACTGGGAATAAGTTGTGATATTTGCTGTAGTACTGGGCGTACGTTGCTGGTACCAGAATATTTTCCTTAACAAAACTTTCATATATTAAAGCTTACATGTATAGTTCAATGGAGACAAAATAATATACAGCAATTTTTGTTGTTGGACTCATTTCATATGTTGGTCTCTGTTGTCAAAAAACAAATAAGAGCTGATTCTGTGTAAGTGGGTGTTTATTGTATTGTGAAGTATGTTCTTATTCTATGCACTATTGTCAGATTGTTTCACATTATTGCCTTCCTTCTCTAGCTGAGATTGGGGACTATGACCCAGGGAAGCATCCAGAAGGCTACAGCTCCAAGTTCCAGTTTTTCCCCAAGCACTCAGAGCGCCTGGAGCGCCGCATTGCTGAGATCCACAAAACTGATCTCATGTAGGAGCATCATTACCATTATAATTGCCTTGCTTTTTCTTTTTGTCTCAGCAAATATTTGTTTTGAGTAGAATTGTATTCATGGCACAAAATATTACAGATGAATAACAGAAACTTGAATGTATTTAATGCATTAAATGTATTGAATCTTTGTATGTCTTGGTGTGCATGTGCTGTGTTTCGTGTGTGTGTGTTACTGTGTGATCACTCTCTCCCTCTCACAGAGGCCAGACTCCTGAGACTTCAGAGTTGAATTTCTTAAGGAAGGCCAGGACTTTGGAGACATATGGGGTTGATCCACATCCTTGTAAGGTAAATATCATACACATTATACCATATACAAGTTTGTGGCTCAGTACTGGCTACAAAACATCTCAGTATGAAGCACACTGACCTCCCTGACTAACTTTTTAGTTTACAAGTTTAGTAGTTGACTTTGAAATGAATAAAAATAAAATTAACTTAATGAGTAAGATTAGAATTTTATTTGATATTAATTCTTTGTAAATGGAGATCTGTCTAATTTTTTTATTGTTTATGACAGGATGTGTCAGGAAATGCTGCATTCTTAGCCTTCACTCCATTTGGCTTTGTGGTGTTGCAGGGTAACCGGAGAGTCCATTTTCTCAAATGGTCAGTGAGGAGAAGCTATCATATCATATGCACATGCTTTGTGTGTGTGTGCCACTATAAATAACTGTCGGTCTGCTTGTGAACAGGAATGAGGTCACTAAAATGAAGTTTGAGGGAAAGACCTTCTGGATTTATGCAAATCAACAGGAAGTAAGTAGGTGTAAGAGTGGTGGTTGGTTGGTTACTATAGTATGGGAAACATTTCTGTAGTATAATGTTCAGTTAAATAGCTTATGTACTATTTATAATATTTTTCTCATAATGTCGACAGTAATGGCAGTACTCATGACTTTGACCACTGCCCTTCAGGATCAGAAGATCATTCTGACTTACTTTGCCCCAACACCTGAAGCCTGTAAGCATCTATGGAAGTGTGGAGTAGAGAACCAATCCTTCTACCAGTGAGTCACCAGCACAAATAATAACAAATAATTTAAAACAATTGTAACAAATAAAACACACAACACATTAAAACAATAATCTAGTGTTCACAAATATTAACCAAAATACACCTGTTGTCAGTTTACCAGTAACCCCAACAACACTGCTGTTCCTGATACAACTGTACCCACTAATATACACTATATTGGCAAAAGTATTTGCTCGTCTGCTTTCACACGTATACGAACTTGAGTGACATCCCATTCTTAATTCATGGGGTTTAATATGATGTTGGCCCACCCTTTGCAGCTATAACAGCCTTAATTTTTCCTGGGAAGGCTTTCCACAAGGTTTAGGAGTGTGTTTATGGGAATTTTTGACCATTCCTCCAGAAGCGCATTTGTGAGGTCAGACACTGGTGTTGGACGAGAAGGCCTGGCTTGCTGTCTCCTCTCTAATTCATCCCAAAGGTGTTCTATCGGGTTGAGGTCAGGTCTCTGTGCAGGCCAGTCAAGTTCTTCCACACCAAACTCAACCATGTCTTTTATGGACCTTGCTTTGTGCACTGGTGCGCAGTCATGCTGGAACAGGAAGGGGCCACCCCCAAACTGTTCCCACAAAGTTGGGAGCATGAAATTGTCCAAAATCTCTTGGTTTGGTGAAGCATTGAGAGTTCCTTTCACTGGAACTAAGGGGCCAAGCCCAACTCCTGAAAAACAACCCCACACTGTAATTCCTCCTCCACCAAACTTTACACCTGGCACAATGCAGTCAGAAAAGTACTGTTCTCCTGGCAACCGCCAAACCCAGACTCGTCCATTGGATTGCCAGATGGAGAAGCGTGATTCATCACTCCAGAGAACACGTCTCCACTGCTCTAGAGTCCAGTGGTGATGTAAGGCTTTGATGCAGCTGCTCGGCCATGGAAACCCATTCCATGAAGCTGTCTATGCACTGTTCTTGAGCTAATCTGAAGGCCACATGAAGTTTGGCGGTCTGTAGCGATTGGCTCTGCAGAAAGTTGGCGACCTCTGCATGCTATGCGCCCCGCTCTGCGCGCTATGCACCCCGCTCTGCCATTTTATGTGTGACTTCGTGGCTGAGTTGCTGTCATTCTCAATCACTTCCACTTTGTTATAATACCGCTGACAGTTGACTGTGGAATATTTAGTAGCGAGGAAATTTCATGACTGGACTTGTTGCATAGGTGGCATCCTATCACGGTACCACACTGGAATTCACTGAGCTCCTGAGAGCGACCCATTCTTTGACAAATGTTTGTAGAAGCAGTTTGCATGCCTAGGTGCTTGGTTTTATACACCTGTGGCCATGGAAGTGATTGGAACACCTGAATTCAATTATTTGGATGGGTGAATGAATACTTTTGGCAATATAGTGTATCTCTACTATAAGGCATGGGCTGGACACAGCTCCTGTTCTTTTGCTCTCAGACAGTACTTTCTCTTGGCTGATGGGTATATTTATTGTTTAATCTATTGTTAATAATTTGTTTTGGCGAGGTACAATTGGCTCAGTCTTGAACCATGAATAAAACTACCAGGTTGACATGTAGTCATCACTTTTATTACCTTCCATTCTGAATCCATAGGCATTAAAATGGAGTTGCCTCCCCTTTGCAGCTACAACAGCTTCCACTCTTCTGTCAAGGCTTTTAACAAGATTTTGGAGTATATCTTTGGGAATTTTTGCTTATTCATACAAAAGAGCATTTGTGAGGTCCGACATTGATGTTGGACGAAGGGGCCTGACTCGCAATCTCCATTCTAGTTCGTCCCAAAAGTGTTTGATGGGGTTGAGGTAAGGGCTCTGTGCAGGCCAGTCAAGTTCAGAAAAAGATTCTTCACCAAACTGTTCCCACAAAGTTGGAAGTGTACACTTGTCCAAAATGTCTTGATACTCTGAAGCATTAAGATTTCCCTTAACTGGAACTAAAGGGGCCTAGGACAACCCCTGAAAAACAATCCCATAGCATTATCCCTCCTCCACCCACTTTACACTTGGCGCGGTGCAGTCAGGTTGGTAGTATTCTCCTGGCATTCTCCAAACCCAGACTCGTCCATCAGACTGCCAGACAGAGAAGCGTGATTTGTCACTCCACAGAATATGTTTCCACTGCTCCAGAGTCCAGTAGCAGTGTGCTTTACACCTCTCCATCCAGTGCTTGGCATTGTGTTTGGTGATGTAACGTCTGCATGCGTTGCTCAGCCATGGAAACTCATACCATGAAGCTCCCAGCACACAGTTTTTGTGCCCCTGCAACGGTGGCATCCTATTAGAGTACCACGCTTGAATTCAGTGAGCTCTTTAGAATGACCCATTCTTTCACAAATGTTTGTAAAGGCAGACTACTTCACTAGATTTTATACACCTGTGGCACTGAATGAAACACCTGAATTCAATGATTAAGAGTTGTGTCCCAGTATTTTTGTCCATATAGTGAATGTATGCTATGTATGCCCTAGTCGTCTAGTCTAGTCTACTTTAAGCTCCTTTACCGTGCTTTGTGGGTGTGACCTTTTTGCTGTGTCAGAGGGCCTGAGCAAGGTACACCAACCACAGTCTCACAAAATCTTGCGGGAAACACTGTCCCAGTTCTAGTGAGAACAGCATTGTTTTAAGCTGCTTGTAAGATTCTTTGGGCAGGACTCTTAACAAAGCGTTTGCTTTCCTCTGAAACATAATTATGTTTGTTCTCTGGATAACGCTGTCAGCCATGTCCTGTAAAGAGTGCCGACTCTCCCTAATAAGCGACATAAGAAGCTGCTTAGGGCACCGCGGCCACCAGGAGGCCACCTACCAACTTCTGGGTTACTACTGTACTACTGTATTATGTTGATAATTTAGATGCTCCAGTGAGGACAAAAAAAGCAACTGGTTAATCATGTCTCAAAAAAAGAACATACGCATCTTGAGCCGAAGAACAAAAAAGAAAAAGAGAAGATGAGGAGAAAAAGCTTAAAAATAAAGGATTTTTTTGTACAAAAACTAACAAACACAGACATAGTCTCACTTTATTCACTTCCGGCGCCGCGCGAGTGGCAGCCTGTTACAGCAGCTCTTGCTCACCGTGAGCTTTTTTTTCTCTTATTTTTCCTTTCTTTTATAGTACTTTCTAAACCTGAGTACTTTTCACACTGTCTGTGCACCATGGGCATTAAACTCGTGCAGTTTGCGCTTCTTTTTATTTTGTTTTTCTCGCGCATTTCACACGCGAGAGCGGATCCAGCGTGCTCCCGGCGGGATCTCTTTGTTTACACCAGGGATCAACTGATAGCGCTGAGGGGCACAGCGGCGCTCCTGGGGGCTCAACGCCGTGCGAGGAGAAGACGCTACAAAGCAGTCCTTCCCTCTGTCATCATGGGGAACGTGAGATCTCTTCCAAATAAGATGGATGAGTTAGCGGCGCTGACCCGGCACGAGAGGGAATTCCGTGAGTGTAGCGTCATGCTGTTTACGGAGACCTGGCTAACTACGCTAACTCCGGTAAGAGGAAAGGAGGAGGACTGGCAGTATTTGTGAATGATAGATGGTGTAATTCTGGACACATCTCTATTAAAGAGCAAATCTGCTGTAAGGAACTGTTAGCCGTTAGCATGAGACCTTACTATCTGCCACGGGAATTCTCGCATGCTATCGCGATAGCTGCGTACGTTCCTCCGTCTGCTAACGCAGGCTGCAGACGCTGCCTGTGACGTCCTGCACTCAGCTGTGAGCAGGATTCTGACCCAGCACCCACAGGCCCTCCTCCTGATCTCTGGGGACTTTAACCATTCTACTCCATCCTCAACACTGTCTACCTTCACCCAGTATGTCACCTGCCACACCAGAGACAATAAAATACTGGACTTGTTTTATTTCAATACAAAGGAGGCATATAACTCCCTACCCCTCCCTCCCCTGGGAAGATCAGATTACAACCTGGTTCATCTCCTGCCTGTGTACAAACCACTTGTACACAGAGAACCAACCATCACCCGCACAGTGAAGAAATGGACTGCAGAGTCTGAAGAGGCTTTGAAAGACTGTTTCAGCACAACACTGTGGGAGGAGATGTGTGATCCTTATGCGGAAGATATTGATGGCCTCACACACTTCATAACGGACTATGTCAACTTCTGTGTGGAGAATACCGTACCCACCAAGACCATTCGGTGTTTCTCCAACAACAAACCCTGGATTAATCCTAATATAAAGGCCCTCCTGAAGGAGAAGAAGAGGGCTTTTAAATCAGGTGACAAGGAGGAGATGAGATCTGTGCAGAGGGAGCTGAGAAGGAAGATCCGGGAGGGGAAAGCCAGCTACAGGAGAAAGATGGAGGCCCAGCTGCAGCAGAATAATGTCAGTGGAGTCTGGAATAGCCTCAAAACTATTTCTGGACACAAGAAGCCCGACTCCCGGGCTGTGGGGGACCACAAGTGGGTGAATGAACTCAATCTATTCTTTAATAGGTTTGATCACTCGCCTGCTCCCCCCACCACAGGCACATCACTGCTGAATTCTCCCTGTCTGGCACTACCAGCATTTGGCCCTCCCCCCTCTCCTGCACCCACCCCCCTTCATCTCAACACACAGCCACCATCAGACGGCTCTCCTGCTGACATACATCCCAGCACTGTTCTCCCTTACTCCAACCTCACATTCACAACATCCCAGGTGAGAAGTGAGCTCAGGAGGATGAAGATCAGGAAGGCTGCAGGTCCAGATGCCATCAGCTCAAGGCTTCTCAAGACCTGTGCGAACGAGCTGTGTGACGTGGTCGGGTACATCTTTAACCTCAGCTTGAGGTTAGGGAAAGTCCCACAGCTGTGGAAAACATCCTGCGTGGTGCCAGTGCCAAAGACCCCACACCCCAAAGACCTCAACAGCTATAGGCCGGTGGCGCTGACATCTCACCCGATGAAGACCCTGGAGAGACTGCTTCTTGTCCACCTGTGCCCCCTGGTGAGCTCTTCAATGGACCCACTGCAGTTTGCCTACCAACCTGGCATTGGAGTGGAGGATGCCATCATCCACCTCCTACACAGCTCTCTCTCTCACCTGGAGAATGCTGGGAGCACTGTGAGAATCATGTTTTTTGATTTCTCCAGTGCTTTCAATACCATCAAACCCACACTGCTGAAGGACAAGCTGGAGTGCACGGGCCTGGACCATCACCTCACCACCTGGATCCTGGACTACCTCACTAACCGACCGCAATATGTGAGGACCGAGGGCTGTCAGTCGGACACGGTGGTCTGCAGCACGAGGGCTCCACAGGGAACTGTCCTCGCTCCCTTTCTCCTCACCCTCTACACTGCGGACTTCAAGTACAGCTCTGCCAGTTGTCACCTGCAAAAGTTCTCTGACGACTCTGCTATCGTCGGCCTCATCACAGACGGAGATGACAGGGAGTACAGAGAACTGACGCAACAACAAGCTGGACTGGACTGACAACACAGCTGCCCTCTACAGGAAAGGCCAGAGCAGGCTACATCTCCTGAGGAGACTCAGGTCCTTTGGCGTGCAGGGGGCACTTCTCAGGACCTTCTTCGACGCTGTGGTGGCATCAGCCATTTTTTATGGAGTGGTGTGCTGGGGCAGCAGCATCTCCATTGCTGACAGGAAGAGACTGAATAAGATCATCAGGAAGTCCAGCTCTGTCCTGGGATGTCCTCTTGACCCAGTGGAGGTGGTGGGGGACAGGAGAATGAGGACTAAGCTAACAAACATGCTGAAGAACCTGTCCCACCCCATGCACCGCTCTCTGACAGCACTGAGCAGCTCCTTCAGTGCCCGGCTGCGGCACCCGCGGTGCGTGAAGGAGAGATACCGCAGGTCCTTCCTCCCAGCCGCTGTCAGACTCTATAACAGTCACAGCACTCAGTAGACAGTAGTTTACAATTACTTTCCATGTGCAAGAACTCTCAACATCACTGCCATAGCACTTTACTGTGTGCAATATCTCAATCCACCATGCGTAGTATATTCACTGCGGATCATTGTCAACATGTTTACCACCATTATGTGCAATTATGTCAAGTGCAATATTTCTCCATTTATTTACTGTTTATTTATTTGCTATTTTATTCACTGTGCAATACTCACTACAATACATACATTTCTACATTTCTAAATTTAAATTTAATACTTTGTATATTTTTCTTATCTTTGTACATATACATATATATCTTTATACTTTTATTGTTTATTCTATTTAAATATTGTTTGTATATTTCCTGCTGCTCTGTCTTCTGTGCTGCTGTAACACCGCAAATTTCCCCGTTGCGGGATTAATAAAGGATTATCTTATCTTTACAAGAGTGGTTAATGACTTTCTCGGTTATTCCAAATTTTGATACTCAGGCTTAATCCTCATGTGCATGCATTTATGACAAACAGCATGAAACATGAGAATGAGTTGCCAAAGTAGGAAATCATACCCAAAAAAAACCCCAAATATATTTATAGCAATGTACAAACAGTGCAAAACACGCTGATTCTGTCACCTCTTGTGTGGTGAGTTGCAGCCTGTGATAAGTTAGTCCAGTTTATTGTCAAAACAGCAGACATCAGTTTGTAATGAGTAAATGAGTTAATGGGGGAAAAGAGAGTGGAAGGAAAAAGGCAATTTCTTGGGGTTAGCTATTAGCCATTAGCCTAGCATGAAGACTAGCCAGCTTTTGCAGTGCTTCTGCAAAATATATATATATATAGGTATGTATGTGTGTGTGTGTGTGTGTGTGTGTGTGTATATGTGGGGAAAATTCTGAAAAATTCTGAAAGATTCATATATATATATATATATATATATATATATATATGCGTAAAATACTTTATATCAAACTACTTTTTTTCATGAGCAATATTCTGTATACTTACTGATATTGCTCTGTATAATAAAAAGAATCAATTGTCTTTCTGTCTTTTTGCAGGTTTGAAAAATCAAGTCAAGTGCGGACAGTGTCTAGCAGTAATGTGTTCTTCAAAGGGAGTCGCTTCAGATACAGGTAAATACTGATGATGTCCAGTCTGAATTACTACTTGTGCAACTTGTCTCTTCTGTGACTTTTGTGAGCTATTCTGAGATGTTAAATAATGATCTAACAGATGTTTAATTGGTTAGATTGGTTTGTGTTGTGATCTCTCATAGTGGCAAGGTGGCTAAGGAGGTGATGGAGCAAAGTGCCAAAATCAGACGAGAACCACCAGAAATCCACAGGTTGGTTTGTAGCTAATGTTTCCATGTTCTGTACTCACCACTGTATTTACCACTCAAGTAGAATGATGAACACCTTTGTTTACTGTTTTGTACATGTTTTTCTCACCGAGCTATATTAAAATGTACACCGATCAGGCATAACATTATGACCACCTCCTAGGGCTGGGCAATAAAACGATAACGATAATTATCGTGATATAACTTTTCCTCAATATAGCAATAAGAAATGTACGATAAATTTTCGATATAACAGACCATTCTCACACTTCTACATTGTAGCGACAGCCCTGGTGGCATTTTCTACTGCAAGGAAAGCGACAGTACTCTGCTGTCGCCAGGAGAGGGCGCACTTCCGAGTTTTCCGACATGATTAGAGAGGGAGGGGGCGACGAGTGAAATGAGTCTTTAACAACGTCTGAAACGTGGAGTTGTACATTCCCAGTTTGAGTGGAGCGACCGGCGATCTGTTCTCCTGTGACCAAGTGTGAGTGACGAGATCAGTGGCGTAACCGTACTGTCCTAAAGTGAACTCACCTCTTTCCTTACATCCTAACAAGCTTTAGCAGCGTTAAATCACGTCTGCTTCTCTCAACTACAGCGCTGTTACAGCACTCAGTCATATTTAAGTATTAGTGCATTCCCAAGCAACAAAAGTGAAAGAATGAAGTGAGTTCATGCAAGTTACAGCCCTGATTTAAATGCAAGTAAACTGAGGAAGCTGTGAGGCACTGGAAAGCATTGGGAGAACGCTATCTTTCCAGGCTAGCTGTTTTTAGCAGCTGGCTAACTTGAAGGAGCGCTCCATCACTCGCACACAATGGCAAATTGATGATACTGTAGATCAAACAAGACATAAAATCACCGCTTTCAGTTTAAACGTACCTAAAAGGAGGTGTCTGTTTGTCTGGTGTTAGATATATTGTGGTTCACCCCTTAAACTACTACGATAGAATAGAGAAATCCAGACGTCGCAAGCTGGTGTTTGAATACTGTGATATGCTCTGACATGGATGCGGTAGGAGTGACGGCAGTAAGGCGGTGTGATCCATCACCAAGCTACTAGGGCAGTATGCTCACTGCCCTCTAGTGTGTGTCTTCACTAGTGTGTATGTGGTGTTTCACTGCACGGATGGGTTAAATTGCAGAGGTTGAATTTCCCCATTGTGGGACTAATAAGGGTCACTTAATCTTTACCCTGTTCCTCAGTGGTCAGGACCCCCATGGACCCTCACAGAGCAGGTACTATTTGAGTGGTGGATCATTCTCAGCACTGCAGTAACACTGATGTGGTGGTGGTGTGTTAGTGTGTGTTGTGCTGGTACGAGTGGATCAGACACAGGAGTGCTGCTGGAGTTTTAAACACTGTGTCCACTCACTGTCCACTCTATTAGACACTCCTACCTTGTCAGTCCACCTTGTAGATGTAAAGTTAGAGACGATAGCTCATCTGCTGCTGCACAGTTTGTGTTGGTCATCCTCTAGTCCTTCATTAGTGGTCACAGGACGCTGCCCACAGGACGCTGTTGGCTGGATATTTTTGGTTGGTGGACTTTTCTCAGTCCAGCAGTGACACTGAGGTGTTTAAAAACTCCAGCAGCACAGCAGTGTCTGATCCACTCAGACCAGTGCAACACACACTTACACACCACCACCACCACATCAGTGTTACTGCAGTGCTGAGAATGATCCACTACCCAAATAGTACCTGCTCTGTGAGGGTCCATGGGGGTCCTGACCGCTGAAGAACAGGGTAAAGGGGGACTAACAAAGTATGCAGAGAATCAGATGGACTACAGTCTGTAATTGTAGAACTACAAAGTGCACCTATATAGTAAGTGGAGCTGATAAAATGGACAATGAGCGCAGAAACAAGGAGGTGGTCACAATGTTATGCCTCATTAGTGTACATTGGCTTGTCTATTAATTTTCAGTTATGTATGTGTGTGCTACTCAGGGCTGGAATGGTCCCAAGTAGGAGTTGTCCTTCCATCACGCATGGCCCGCGACAGTGTAGCGTGCCCCAAACACGCAGAAGAGCAGTCCATATATCCATTATGGAAGGTAAATACTCAGACATAGACACAAAAAAGAAGAATATTTGATAACACATCACTTAACACTGTAGGGTACTGTTCATTAGGCTACATGACACTACATGAGCTTGTCATGACAACTGACATAACCCTAAATAACATGCATGTTTGTAATTGCTTATCCCAGTAGAAGTCATGTGTCATGAAAGCTACTTAAGCTTACTTGCTAAATGTAAACTTTATAGGGAATGATGCCTATTGGAATAAGCATTTATAAACACATATGCAAGGGTTATGTCAGTTGTCATGACAAGCTTATGTAGGTGTCATGTAGCGTCATGAACAGTATCCTCCAGTAAAGTGTTACCAAAAGTTTTGTTATACAATAAAAAGTTTGTATGTACATTGTTTGATAAATTCACACAATGTTCTCATGATGCATCAAGTACAAGTATTTTTGTTTATTTTGTTAAAAAGACCAATCTTTTTTCATATGCTAATAAGCTAATTCTGTAATTCTGAAGTACAATCCTTTATATGTTAGACAAAGCTGAAATATAGTGACCTCACTGAATGATTTACGAGATCTGTTGTAACCATGAAAATGAAAAGTAGATTTAAATGTGGTTTTATTCTATACCTTTTTACTATTTATTACTATTTTATCATTTTTTACTAAAATGTTTTGGTTTGGAGGCAGCAAACTAAGCAAAACACAGAATTGCTAACTTCTTCTTCTGTCCATGTGTCAGTCTCTCCTTCTGTAATGTGAGAACCTCTGCCTTTGTGCAATATGTAACCAGACATTCACCTGGCCCTGTCGTTCTGCCTTTGTAATGAGGACATCAATTTTTTTGTGTGTGAATGTGTGAGTGGGCACTGATTGTGTGTTGTTTTTAAAATTATACTTAAAAATATACCTGACAGCATTTATTTATTTATTTATTTGGATGTTTGTTTGTTTGTTTATATCTACCAAAAAACACCAACCCCAATCCCCAATCCAACCATATAGATTATTAGAGAATGTGTCCACTTTCCAACAGCACACAGAAGGGAGGCTCATGAAATAATGGATATGAATTCGGCAGCATGGATATGAATTTGGCATCTTAATCAAAAATAAGGACAAATAAGACCAAAGGTGTGCAACTTGCACAGATATAAAATGATTGACCTTTGAAAATAATTGCTTTGAAAATAACTAAGCTTTATATGTGATATATTTATATTCGTGTCTGTACATTAACAGCATTTTGGTTGTGTATTTGTAGAATAGTATGTGGAAGGTTATACCACAGCAAGAGTAAATATTAGTTGTTGGCCTACCTCTCCTCCTTTCATTGGCACACAACACATTTAAAAAGACAATGACGAGTGTGACATCCTATTCCCCGCTGTTTCAAGAGTGCTATTTTTACACTCTCTGTAAATAGTCATGCAGGGGCTCTCCATGTGTGTCATTACAGTGTAAGTGAAAATAAGCAGTGGGGGGGTGGGTTTTTTTTTGTTCTTTTGTAGTGGCTTATATGTCCAGTCTTTGTCTTTCTCTTTCTCATTCTCACACACATACAAATACACACACACACATACATATATACATACGTGTTCGGGCACCATGGTGAAGTGTCTAATCCGGATTAAGACAAAGGTTAACGTTCACCTTCGAATGATTAATCATTGTTACTGGGATGTGAAGGTAAGGGTCTTTACGCTGGGCCCCAGGCTGCTGGGGAAAGTCCTGGGCTCTCTGCCCCTCATCCCCTTGCTGCCAGACTCCACCAGTTCCCTTGGAGCCTCTTCCAGACTCAGCATCCCCCAGTACAATCGACTCTCCAGAGTTGCAGGTAACACGCAAGCTCAACACAGAGCTAACGACAAATTCAACAGCCTTTCTTTGTGTGTGTGTGTATATGTGAGTGCACACGTTATAATCAATTTTGGATGGCCAGAGTGATGGGGAACAGTGTATATCTGGATTTACAACAATAAATTTCTATTCTATTCAATTGAAACCCTTTTATTTAAGTAAGGCAAGTCTAAGAACAGTTGTCCAACAGTCCACTATAGCTAAAGCTATTATCAGAACAATGGCCACAATTGGCAGTGTCAAAAAACATGAAAAAAATCAGACAAGATGGCTTAAGAACTTAACAGGAACGTGAGAGATTGCATGCTATATGTCTTAGTCCTAATGAGTCCTAAAATGAGCAGAGGTGGTAGGTAATGAAGTACAACTACTTTGTTACTGTACCTAAGTAAAGTTTTTAGGTATTTCTCTCACTTAATACTTTTTACTTTTACTCACTACATTTCAAAAGAATAAACCTGTACTCATTACATTTTCGAAACACGCTTGTTACTTTCCTTTTAACAATCTCTTTATTTATTTATCCCTCTTTTTATTTATGTATTTTAATCAGGCAATTGTATTAGGGCACCTAATGAAATGCAAATCGGCTCTGTGAAGGTGGGGGGGGGGTGGAGGGGAGTGAACCTGTGAATCACTACTTACACAACTTACAGGCCCCATCAGTGAGCACATGGAAAAAAGGAAGATAAGCAAACATATGAGACAGTGGAATCCACAGAAATGACAGCGCCGAGCCCGCGCTTAATTAAGACAATGCAAAAATGAAAAAAACTACATCCATGGCTTTACTCAGTGCCGTAATGGGAAATCAGGAGAGTGGAGAGAATCTACTTCAAAATCCACAAAGTTCCTGAATAGTTTCCTCCACCTGCTCATTTGATGGAGGATGTGAGGCTCACCATGATCAAATGTCCTTTGAAAGACCACAGTGATGAGAAACTTGATGGAATTGTGCCTTGGCAACCTGGATGGCAGTGAGGATAGCAGCAATTATATTTTTAGAAAATTGATCCACAGTCACTAAAATGTGAATACAACCATCTGAGTGAGGGGGTGGCGGAGGGTCAAATTTGTTAATGGATAAATTTGTCACGTATTCGGCGAGCTCTAACAAGGAACCGGACTTCATCTCCCAGAATCCTCCGGGAGATCACATGACGGAGCAACTTCCCTCCGACTCGGATTCAGACACGGACACCATTGCCCACAATACAGTTGGGACTCATGTGACTTCTGACTCCCGCTCGCGCACCAATCAGCGCTCTGCATCACTGGAATACTAACTGGTGTAACCTGTGTTTTTATTCACATGACTAGTCAGTATACTTTAAAAGCCCGGGCTTTAGATAGACTCTTTGCGAAGTATTGTATCATTCTGATCTACTGAGCGTTTGTTTATGATTGCCTGTTTTTTCCGTGTATTGACCTCTACTTTAGTATTTTCGACTTTGCCTTTTGCCTGATCCCTTTTGTACCTTAGCCTGTATTGACTGAACTGTGTTTTTGACTTCCTTGCCTGTTTTTGTGACTTCGTTTTTTGCTTTGCCCTTTTGTTTTGGTTGCCCGATCATATTAAACGTGTCGTCTACATCCGCAAGCGTCTGTGTTCTGCTGCAACGTCACAAAATTGCTAATAATGATTAATAATAATTATGGTTTCAAATACATATAGGAACCATTGATTATTTCCTCATTTTTTACAGTTTTGACTGATCTTCTGTATTTTGTCTTTGCCTGACCTCTTTTGTTATGTTTTAGCCATATTATAACTTATGATTTTATGACTGGATCAAACCAGACAACTTTCACCTAACCATCCACTTTACTTTAAAATGTACTTCAAAACATATGTTGGGACACTAATCCAGATGCACATGTTTAAACCAGAAATCTCCAATGCTACTCCTGGATGCTCTTTGTAGGTGTGTGTGTGAAGAAATCCACTTTGATGCTTCATTGTTGGGATGGTGTGTTTCTTGTTTCTCTTCATGATCCTTGTTGACTCCTCTACAGTATAATATTTATGGTTGTGACCATAAAGCTCATTTTTTTTTATTCCAAATTAGTTTATTTCAGAAGTCTTGAGGGTTTTCTAGATGCCCATACTACTTCATTTCAGAGAAGCTTGTAGTTGACTAGAAGTTGCTTGCTAGGTTTTTCTTTGCATCTCACATTTTATTGCAGATTATCTCGTTATCTCTTTTTTCTTGGTTTCTGAATACTAATACTAAATGGAACAAATGTGCTTTGTATGATTATATTTTTTCATCACTCCTATTTTAAACAATGGTAGATGTTTATAAATTCAGTCAGAGATATGTAGAATTTTGAGCAGAAGTGTATATAAATATAAACCTTGAAATAAACAACAGAAAGTCTCAGATTAAAAAAAAATGTTAAACAAAATAATATGAAAGGTTGGAAGGAATGCAAAACAGAAGCATTTTCACCAGTGGTACCCCACAGTACACACACATAAAAATAGTAATGTCAACATAAAATGTAGGTTACAACCTATGGCTGGTGATCAAAACCATCTGGTTAGCTTAGGCCATCAACATGGTGGCTCTTATATGATGTCAAATTAAATTCATGGATATGACCATGCAGAGCAAACAGTTACTCCCATGTGATTGTTCCCTTTATCATTTTGGATCCACTGCCATGTTTAACACTTGACAAAATAGTGGGTTGAAGGCATCTTTTGGCTTCCTCCAAAGGTAAACACCCAGAGATAATAAAAAGATGACTTTTTAGACCTTATTACTTTTTTCTTTGTCCAGGGGTCCATATTTTATGCTCCTTATACTATGTCTTTAGGAGGTTTTTTGGATACAAATGGTTTTCATTTGGTAGGCTTGATGTTAATTCCAGCACAACATATAGTTTCTGTTGAGACTTAGCTATAAGGTGCTGATTTTAATTCTATGGTAATATTGTGGATGTGATGTTTAGCAGCTATTAATTTAAATGTATGTCTATCTGTGTTCTTCCACTTTGATCAAAGTGTTCTTTGTAAGACTTTTGTCTGACACATACTCCTAGTTGGCACTATGCCTTGAATTGAACAAGCATTTAATAACCACCATGTTGCTGTCCGTCATTTTACTGAAACTTCTAAAGAAAGAATTTAAAGGACATGAGACACTTATCTACCCTAAAGACATTAGGGACTTTATGCAATGATTGCAGAAAGAAAAAAGTGCTATTTGTTCTACTACAGCCAAACCACCAGTTTTATGTAGTCACTAACACATTTTTCAACACTAATCTTTTCAGTGAATTCAGAGACTTTTTGTTTGACTTTTCAAAGATACTGATAAAGTTTTGACCAAAACAAAAAGGAAAATTGAGTCAAAAGCCACAAATTATCTATGTAATTTCTAACTTTTTTTCCAGGTTATTTTAATGCTTGTTTTCAAATTTTAGCTTGGCAGTTACTTTTGGGTTTATAGATTTCTACATTCAAGTAATACATTGTCAAAACAGCCACAGAGTGGACAGACTTGCCTGTAAAGACTGTCTTCACAGCCTGAGCAACATTGGTTTTAATTTCTTACTGTTTATTGCCAATTTGACTTATGATGCACTAATGATTTTGCTACATAATGTTAGTAAATAAACACTCTGGTTTAACTTTAGTAGATCAACTACAGAATAAGTATACTGTATTATTATTATTAATATTAATCATGGATGCCTTCATACTCGTCCTCATGATTATTCTGTTCCATTATTCCAGCCTTTTATTGGTAAGTGAAGAGTACTACTCATTTCATAATTACTTAATGTATTTCTCCTTGTTTGAATGCAAACACAAAAATGTGGAGAACAAGGGGTACCCACAACTAGGAACCACTCTTTTGAGCCCTGTACTTTACACTGGCAATATATGACAGCACTGCCTTGGGAGGATCACTTTAAAAATGCAAGATAATGAGTTTGCATTTGAATGTAATCCTACTGGTAAACACTCTATTTTTATAATGTACCTGTAATCTGATTACTGTGTTTTTTTTTTTGGCTGTAACTAACAGAATACATTTTTTCTGTATCCTAATCATGTAATTACATTAAATGCCATTACATGTATTCCATTACTACCCAACCCTATTACTGCATTAGTGTGTTGGACATTACTATTTTAAAAAAAACATAGTAACTAATATTACAAATACAACCATTTGATCAACTTCATATACATTTTGTTCTTTTCACTCTCTTAGGTTTAGAGTCTTTACGTGACAGCGGCCACTCTACGCCTGTCAGATCCACCTCTCATGGTGGCTCTTTCGTGAGTACACATGGCAATGGAGCAGAGGGTGGAAATGCAACAGCAGAATTCTCTGAGGAATGCTATAGTCCCTCTGACAGTGTGCTACCCACACCAGTATTCAGCAACTGCTCACTGGACCAGTCCTTGGGTGATAATACTAATGGCTCTCCCAGCATTCAAGAGGCATTCACTCCAGACAAAGCAGGGGAGGCGTTCACTCCAGACAAGGGGAGGTTCGCTGGCACAAGAGGAGGAGCCGCTCATCTAGGAAAGCAATCCACCGGTAGCATTGAGGTGGAGCGGCTGTGTGAAGTCATTGGCAGTTTGACACGACTCTTCTTAGTGACTCTCACTCTGCTATTTGCCCTTCTCCTGTTTCTAATTGCTCTGACAGAGTCTGAATTAGATGTAGCCTTCCTGAGGGACATCCGGCGGACACCTGAGTTTCAGCAGTTTCACTATGAGTATTTTTGCCCTTTCAGACGATGGCTGGCCTGCAAGCTGCGCTGGATGGGAGGGCACCTCATAGATAAATGAGAGTGGGAATATGTTAAAAAAGGTCCTCTCTGTTCTTTAGATCATAAGAAACATTCAGGCCTTTTGACACTACAGGTTGAAGCATTATTATCACTGTATCATGCTCTTAGAACTTACAATTCTGTACTAGGCAAAAGCCACAGATAAAGCCACAGTACCTTGCCAAGAGTGCTGGGTTTCATCTCTCTATGTGATGGAGTATTGTTTATTAGTTTTAGTCTGTGTTGATGAAAGTAATGCAAAATTTTTTGCCATCAAATACCCTGTCCTTTTTTTAATTACAGTAAAAACTTGAAGTGGTTATTCATCAAAGTATCTCATGAAACACTCCTCTGTTCCCTTCCCCATTTCCCCATTTTGCTGTGTCTTATGCTCTTCCTTTTTCTTTTTCTCACCAGTGCTTGACCCTTTTCACATGCAATTCCCTTTTGTTTTGTAGACAAAAGATGCCTTTTTGTGGTTTATGGTTTAATAGTTGTACAACAGACAGGAGACTAAGATGAATTTAGAGGTATGTACAGTGCCATATGGGACTGTGCATTAGTTAGCTCCTTCAGAGATGAACATTGGAGTAAGGAGATATTTTAGGGTGCATACCAATTTTGCCAGTTGGAGAGCCCTGGTAAAAGATTCAAGTGTGTGATGTAAGCTACAGTTTCAAAGGAGTTGTTCATACTAAAATCAGCCATGGGCTTCCACAGTTTGACATTTTATTGAACCTTTTTGGAGAATCAAAATAAAATACACAGAGTAACAAATAGAGTAATGCAAATGCAAGTCCAAAATCACAACTTTGTCAAGGTGATTTTTGTGGTGATTTACACATCCAAATAGAGTAAGAGGATGGACTCTTAATGTGATATTGTGTCACATTAAGTGTTTTTGTTTTCAAGCGTGGCTGGTGCAATAATTGCTGAACCTATTTCTCTTGATAAGCAATTACATGTTCTTCCAGTAGCAACATTATTATTTTTTTCAATTAAAACCTAATGTAGATTTTCCAGTTGATTAACTCATATAGATATTGGTTATAATGCTCAGTGACTGTGTGCATTTGAGCCACCATGTGCCAAGTTATTATGAAACAAAACTCCATCCCTGCTGCATAAACAAACCTTCAGCTTGCTTTTAGTTGAACAATACAGCAACTATATTCTTGTTATTTTATTATTTTCTGTTTATGATCAAATTTAAATGATCACTTTTGCCTCTGGAAAAGTTCCTTTTTTGCTATTGTCATGAATCAAGAGATCCAAACATCTATACTCAGTTACGCACAGATGTGCATTTAGTACTGTGTAAGTCTGGGTTCTTCAGTTCTGATCCTGTAAATTTATTTTGAGAAAAAATCATCATCAAGAAATAATAATTAACAAACACACATATCACCACAATTTTTGGCACCCCTGCATTTAATATTTTCTACAATCTTCCTTTGCGAATAAAACAGAACTTAGTCTACTCCTGTAATATCTTATAAGATTGGAGAATATGGAGCTGGGAATTTGAGACCATTCCTCTTTACAGAATCTCTCCAGATCATCCGGGGTCATAGGTCCTCTATTGCGCACTCTCCTCTTTAGCTCACCACACAGATTTTTGAAGGGGTTTAGATCAGGGAACTGAGATGGCCATGGCAGAAGCTTGATTTTGTGTTCAGTAAACCATTTCTGTGTTGATCTGGACATATGTTTTGGATTGTTGTCCTGCTTGGTAATCGAATGACAAACCATTTATAGTTTCTTGGCAGAGGCAGACAGATTTTATTTTAAAATGTCCCGGTATTTCATGGAGCCACTGAGGTTCCTAGGGCCTTTGGAGGAGAAACAGCCCCATGTCACAGACCCTGCACCATACCAACACTGGGCATCAGCTTGTTTTCTGTGCTTGAGTGTTTGTTGCCAAAAAATTTTGTTTCAAAGTCCCAGTAGCGTTTAGCAAACTCCAGATGCTTATGTTTGTGGTTAGATGATAGAAAAGGCTTTTTCCTGGCATATTTTCAAATATTCTGTTGGCATGGAGGTGGCATCTGATGGTAGTTTTGGAGACTTAGTGACTACAATATGCTACTTTTTTCTGTAACTCTACAACAGTAATCTTTAAGAATTGTTTTTGCCTCACTTACCATTCTCCTCACTGTTTGTGGGGGCAAAATAAACTTGGGTCCTTGTCCAGGCAAGTTTGCCACAGTTCCAATTGATTGGAACTTTTTAATTACTGCCCTAACCATACATGTAGGCACTTTTCCCTTATTTGAATTGTGTTCTCTTGTCTTTCCTATGTTTAAGAATGAAATTTGACCTCTGTGTCACCTCATGTATATATATATATATATATATATATATACTCCAGTGAAGCAGGAAGTCATGGACTCCTAGACATTTTGATCAACTTTAAAAAGTAAAATGCAACTGGAAAAAATGCTTCAGTTACATTTTGCTTCTGAATCTCTAGGGGTGCCAATAATGATGAAAATGTGGTTTTGCTAAAAAAAAAATCTTGAGGATTTTTTTTTTATCTCAATAAACTTACTTCAATTAAAGTTTGGCTTGACATTAAGCTAATTCTCCAATTGGTGAATTTTTTTTAAACTTTCTTATAACCTCATTTTTACCAGGGTTGCCAATAATTTGTGAAGGGGTCTGTAGCTGTGTTGGAGCAGGTAAATCACGGTACTAAAATTAACTGTGTTGGGTCCAAAATGAATGTGAGCAGGTATTGCCCATACGTTGCTCAGGTTCCAGGGTCCAGTATGGCACATGGACACCCTGATTCCTTCCGATAGAGTACATTATCACTTAATCAGATTTCTATTATTTTGTTATAGTTATGTTTGTTATAAATACATCTTCCTGCATTATATATGATATATGTCAAAAATGGCATTACAGCAGTTTATTTTTATTCTATGTAGAAAATACAGCCTGTCCACCTATATGAAAAAGTCTGGACATTTTACTTTCTTTTAACATTTTGCAAAAAAAATTAAAGAAATTACCCATAGTACAGGAACAGTTCCTTTATGATTTCTACAGCAGTACACTTGACAAAGGACCTCAGCAAAAATCAGGCTAGTTTTGCTGACATGGAAAAAAAGCTATGCAAAATTATGCAAAATAGTTTTTCAGGGCAAAACAATCACAGGACAATCATGCAGTCATAAAGCAAGACTGACGAAAAAAATACTGAACAGGTTTCAAATGTATTTGCAGGACAGAATCAGTAAAACAAAAAGTAATTTTACAGTACTTTCTGTTTTTTTTTTATTTGGATGGATACAACAAACTTTTGGATACCTATCTATGACATACTTCTGACGAACAAATTTTATGCTTTACAAACAGTTCAGAATTTGAAACCTTTTCACAGCTGAGCTTAGATCAAAATAGACATTCTCTTCTGAACCTACTGTTGTACCTATTGTTTTTACAATTGTATGCATTTGTGTTTTTATAGTTTGCATTCCTCCATTTCTCAGATGAACATTCAAAGTTGGTTTTGCATTTATTTGTCTACTGATTTCATCTCAGAGGTGCCTTCTGAGCAGCGCTCAAACTCACCACAGCAAATGATGAGGACTGCTCACTTTGTCCTCCTTTTGGCAACTCTAACAGAAGCAACTACATGTCTGTTAGTAAGAAGACATATTTATGTGAATGTATCTTTGACCTGGTCTGATGCTCAGAAATACTGCAGAGAAAACTATGAAGACCTGTCGACCATTGACACTGAAGACGAACATAAGAATTTTACAAAGGATGCAGGAGCACATGTCAGTGACTGGTGCTGGTTTGGCCTGAGCAAGAGAGAGAATGAGACATCCTTTATTCAGTGGTCTGATGGAAGCAAGACAGAATTTCAAAAATTTAGATCTGGAGAACCAAACAGTCCTGAATATGAACACTGTGTGGCTCTGAACAATGATAAGTGGTATGATGACTGCTGTACAAGTCGGAGGTTTTTCTGCTACAAATGGGTACCTGAGTTGATCATGGTGCAGGAGAACAAGAAGGGAGGAAGCCCTGGAGCACTGCAGAAATTACTACACTGACCTGGTGAGCTTGACCACAGAGAGAGATCTGCTTGTTGCTAAAAAGAATAGTTTGAATGCTCAGACACATGGTGTATGGTCAGGTCTGCATTTCCTGGATGTCTCATGGCTGTGGGCAAACAAAGACCCTCTGGGGAGCGATGTGTCACTGCCCTCATGCCCTGCCCAGTTTCTCTGCTGTGGAGCCCGAAAATCTGGAGCTGATCACTGGGAGAACAGAGATTGTGAAGAGAAACTGAACTTAATTTGCTATTAGTGAGAAAGATGTGTTTCTCATAGATCAATAGCAACTGCATCAATCATCAACAATGTGATGTTCATATCGCTATACGTAACCGAGTGTTTTGGGGCTTCCATAGTAAATTAATGATAACCAAATGAAGCAAAAAATGCCTTTAGGCCTTTAAGTCATATCAGTCTTTCGTACGTTGAGTTCACTGTAAATGAAAATGGAAGAGATGATTAAAAAAAAGATGGAGAAACATGATACATGTAGTGTTATTTCTTTAAATTTTGCCTAGGTTAATACAGGTGCATGTTCAATAGCATTGTCCAGAAGTTGTAAATCCATTGTAAAAACCTATTAGTATCTTATACATCTTATACAATAGTTGGCTTAGATCTGAAGTATGGCATGATCTTAAACTCGAACATTCTGAGTATCGTCATACTGCCTGTAATAAAGAATAGTTTGTGGTTCTACTTTAATGATGAAAATAAACATGTTAAAGAAGCTATTTGTTGTTAGGGGCCTTTTTATTTATCTGAATTTCACTTCATCCACAGCCTACCTGTGCTCCTGCCTGAGCTCCACTCCCTGCTGAAGCTGCTGTTTCTGCTGCTAAGTTACAAATAAATAATTTAGCATGTTGGCTATTACTGTGCATTAGCCTAACTATATTTACTACAAGAAAATATTTAGCAATAATGTTGTTCTAAAGCCTTTACTGCTGCCAATTAGCTCCTTACTCATCTACAACCCTCTGTTTCTTTTTATGTTGTTCCTTTATGCCAATCTCGTATTACCTTAATAGCTACAATTAAAATGACAATATT